ACCGTCCAGTTTTAACAAGTGGCCAACGCCTTATGGAAACTTTTGAAAGGCGTTCTGTTTCAGGCCAGCCAGCTTGTACTTCATCTGGTTACTTTACCCATCTTTCCTTCAATTTGAGAGCACAAGAAGAAAGGAAACTAAAAATCACTGAGTGCCTACTACGTGCCAAGAACCAAGTCAGCAATTTCACTGTCCTAAGAGTCCCACATTGCCCTTTGAAGAGGGAGAAACAGAGGCCCATGTAGCCCCTCGCGGCAGAGAAAAGAGTGAAGCTGGGCATCTCAGCTTCTGCAGCCTGTGCTCTTTCCAGACACAGCGACCTTCTCTTTACAAGGCCATTCTTGCTGCACGTCTCAATCCTACCCCAAAGCCAAAATTCCCCCAGTTGAACAGGATAAACATTCCCATGGCAAAGGAACGCTGTGTTCCCCAGAGGAGATGCAATCACGTTGTTCCTGCTTAGGCTATGTGTGCTTATGAAATAGAACTGGGCTGAGGGCCTGGACACGGGCTGAGGGCAGCCACCCCTCCCCTGAATCCCCCAGCTGTGCCCTGCAAGGCAGTTAGAGTAACAGAAGGGTAGGGAGCCCAGGGTGGAGAGCTGGGTCTAATCTTGACTTTGCAGCAAGCTGCTGGTTTTCCTGGGTCTCTGCTTCCTCTTGCCATCACAAGGCAGTAGCTTGCTTCGAAAAGTGCAGAGTTAAATCCATGTGAGAAATAATTCTTATTTTGCTTTCCTGGGCATTGATTTCTCTATCTGTAGTTGCAAATGTTGTCCACATACAGGAGAGACTCAGAGGTAGAGAAGAAAGTACCTTTTTGGAGATGGCTCTGGAGAGAGTACTTCCCTCGTACAATCACTCATTCTTTCCAAAATCATTAGACACATATTGAGGGCTTACTATGTGTCAAGCTCTCTGCCAGGCAGAACAAATACAGAAATCAACAAGATAAAGCCCCTGTTCTTAAAGGACTCCTAATGTATAAGCCATTTTTTCATCAAAAAAAAAATATGTATGTATATACATATAAGTGTTTGAATTGTCATGGTTAGAAAATAATCCTGAATATACCCATTCTCCACTTCTGTATACTTAAGCCCTATCACTAAAAAATATTTCCTTGACTATATAATATACATTGTTCTCATATTTCAAAATTTATTAAATCAGCACACATCTTGCAATTTTGATTGGCAGCATTTTCTTCTTGGCGATACACCAAATAATGATCATCTTACAGATGATCACATCTTAGATTTAATGAAATATATTTCATTTCACTTTTCAATTGGGCTTTTAAAGGAATTAACAGCCACTGAATTTAACATAAGGTTTTTCCAGCACATTTCTAGTTCGTCCAGATGTATGGTGTCACACACATCATGTGTCTAGATAACCTGATTGCCCCTCATTTTTTCTTCTGGATGGCTTGGAAGCAATCTCATACCAATGGGCCAGGATGCTGTATCACCTCTTGGCCACCAGAGGGAGAGAGCACCTTGGTTCTCAGGCTTGCTGGTTTTCCCTCTCTCTTAAACCATTCCAGCATGCCCCCTCCAGGGCAATCTGAAACACACTCAAACTCCACCTGCAAGGTCAGAATAGAGGAAAGGGCTCTCTTCCAGAGCAATGGCAGTCAGAAAGAGGAATTAGTTCTGAATGATGTTTGCAAACCTACAATAAAAATCAGCTATGGTTTAAATGAGCAACTCTGGGGAATGAGGACACGTGTTAGACATGGCAGAGTTCTTGCCACAAAAAATGCAGAGCTGATGAGTGGCCCCATGCCCTTCTTAAACCATTCAAGACTCAGGATACTTGTAAAGTTGTGCAAGGAAGTTTTCCCACTCCAGCAATCACCTGTAGCCTTCTATTCTTCCTCCTTTTCTTCCTCCCTTTCTTCCTTCCCTCATTTAACTATTTATTGAACATCTGCTATGTGCCAGGCACTTAGCTAGGAGCTAAGAATAGAATACAGCAGTAAACAGAACAAAAAAGGTCACTGTCCTCATGTATCTTAAGTTCTGGTGGGGAGACATACACTATAAAAATAAATCTATCATCACTTGGTACAAAAAAAAAAAAATGCTATAAGGAAAGACATTAGGTCCCATGAGAGTATGATAGGAGAACATGGTCAGGAGCTGATCTGGGCAGTCTTCTCTGATGAGTGGTAATGGAGACAATGCTTGAGGGAAGAAGAGGAGTTTCTAGGTAACTAGCAAGGGAGAGCCCATCTGGGCACACAGACCAGCATTTGCAGAGGCCCTGAGGTGGAAAGTGTTCAACACTTAGGCACTGAAAGGAGGCAAGTGTGGAACTTAGAGACAAGGGGCAGGAGAAACCCAGGGTGGGCTAACACATAACAGGAACATGGTGGTACAGAGTTCTGTGTGCATGTTTAAGATGCATTTTTCCATCAGTAGCCATTGATGGGATTGAAGCAGGGAACAGACATGAGCAAAGTTGAGTACTGATATGACAGCACTGGTGGCCATGTGGAGCATGGCGTGAAGGAGAAATCTGAGAAGTGAGGTGTCCGTTTGGGAGTTACTGGAGCAGTGGCAAGAGGTGATGGCAGCCAAATGGTGACAGTGGGCATCCAGGTGTATTTTAGAGGTAGTATTACTGGATTGGGGGAGGTTAGAGGAGGTATTATAAGGAGTAGCTTGGAATGGAGAGAGGACTTTTCCTGGGACAGGCACCTTTCAGAGAGGACAGGATCTGAGAAGAAAACATTATGAGCTGTTTCAGTGCATTAACTTTATGCTATTTCTGGAACATCCATATGCAAGTGTAAAGTAGACAATTAAATCTGTGAATCCAATGCTCAAAACTGGGCTGGAAATATTAGATTTGGGAGTCATAGGTACACAGATGGAGGATAAAGCCACAGTGAGAGCTGACGTCAGCTGGGTAGGAGCATCAGTAAAGAGAAAATGGTCCAGAACAGAGCTCAACAGAATGCTTATATTTACAGGAGGAGCCAGCCAAGGACAGTGTGAAAGAGCAGCTAGAGAGAGGATCAATGTAAATGCCAAAAAGAGGAGAGTGTGTCAAGGAGGGATGGTCAGCTGTGTGGATGCCCTGAGCTGTCTGATGAGATGAAGACCAAAGCATGTTTCAGATTTGCCAACATGGAGGTCTTACAGCAGGGGCAGTAGCAGCAGAAACCAGCCTGGGCTGGCCAAAGATGGAAAGGGGAGTGCCAGGAGTCCACCCAAGAGGATGGCAAGCATAAATCTAAAGTGACGGCAGCCTACCCAGTTATGCAGTTTTTCTCAGGCAATGTTCAGTTGCTTGATGAAAGCCTAGAAGAGATGGAGTGTTGGGTTTAGCCTGGCCAGGATTTCACCACACAAGCATGAGAGAGGGATTGGAGAGGGCAGAGCAAGGGTGTTGAAAGAAGTAAAGTGACTGCTCCAAAGTCTAAGTTGGTTAAGGAGGGCAGGGGAGATAGGGAGCTGGTGGAGCTAAGGGACTGGAGGTCTCCCAGAAGTGAAAGTGCTGTCAGTGGACGCACTTGAGCAGGTGAGCCTGAAGTCCAAAGGAGAGCATCAGACTCTGGAGATTTCATAGTTTGTGTAAGACCAAGTCCACGTGGTGACTGTGGAAATTAGTGGCTGAAAAGAAGAGGTAGAGAGGGTCACTAGAAATGAGGAACACAAGGGTCTGTGAAGTCAGAGAATGCAGTGATGACTTAATGTCAAAGAGATCAATCTCAATCAATGTACAGACATTGAAGTTACTGAAAATTATTGGAGTAGAGATGAAGATAACTAGAAAGGAGCCCCTCAAGTCTTCACTGAAGGAGTGAATGACCAGGAAGTCAGTAACACAGCAGTGAGCAGTGAGAGGGATAACGTAAGCCTCAAAAAAGAGGGCTTTCTGCACCAGCGAAGTGAGCAGTGGTCTGGAAGCAACAGGGAAGAACAAGAAATCCTTTAATTGGGAGTAGGAAATAGCCCAGGGAAATGGCACTAATGCAAGTAGAGGAAGGGGTCTGGCTCCCCTTTGGAAGAGAACTCTGCATCATTTATCTGGGTCTGCAGTGCTAAGTGTGAGGAACACCAGCACCCATGCTAGGGATCTGCAGACCCCGTCCTAAGATACACTGTCTTGCAACTCAGGGGAGGCAGGGTGGAGCCATGGGGAGAAGTCTAGATCATACTGAGAGGGGACTGTGCAGGTCCAAAGTAAGTGAAGACATAACTGAGCCAGGGGAAGACAAAGAAGAACAGAACGGCTAAGGTGGCTTAAAGAGGAAGGAGAGAAGCATGCACTACCAGCGGGCAGCCACAGTAAGCCAGGAAACTGAGGACCACAGGCAGAAGTTACTCCACCAGCTAGTCCTGGCATAAACCCTGGCCCCGGTAGTGAAGGGAAAAGGAGTCCCACGTGGAGGGGGAAGGACCTCCAGCCTGGTGCACACAGCTTCTAGTAGATGTTACCAGAACTGCTGCTGCTTCTTTGAACTGTTCCTGGGGAAGGAAAAGGAGGAAGAAGCTGGAAAGGGCACTGACAGCAGAGGGAAGAGAGGAGGGACTAGAGGTCAACCATAATCAACATAAGCTCCATAGCAAGTAAGAAAAGGAGGCGCCCTTAGATCCCCACTCAGTTAGAAGCCCCAGATCTATGTGCGCATATCAAAGAGAAAGTATTTTTACAGCTACAGCAGTGAGATAGTACTATGGATAATATAAAAGGTAGAGAAAACATATCAGGAAAAAAAAGAGAGGCATCTATTCTAACTGGGTGGTCAGGGAAATCTTCACGGCAGAAATGGACTTTCCTCTGGACTTGGAAGAATGGGGGGATTTTGAAAGATAAGACCACAATGGTGGAGGAGTGGCCCCAGGGCTCTCTGGCAGCACTCTACTGCAAGAGTCATGTATCAGGACCAACTGCATGCCTCCTACGGCCTCCCTGCAGCCTCAGCCAAGTCCCCCTGGGCCCCATCCTGACTCACTGTTCTCCCCCTTTCGTTTCCGCTTGCAGGACCTAGGAGCGACTGCCCCCTGAAGGAAATGTCTGACACTCATCACAGCAGCCCTCTCCTGACAGAGCCTCTTTCCAGCAGATACAAACCGTATGAGTCAGAGTTTACCAGCCCTAGCTGGCCCTCAAGCCCCCAGGATACACACCCAGCCCTGCCCCTCCTGGAAATGCCTGAAGAAAAGGTGAGGAGTGTCCCTCCCAGGATATTTCACAGGTGGAGGGAAGGGGAGGACGGGTGATGAAAGAAGCTGCTCTCCCAGCTGCCCAGTGCACGGGTTGCATAATGCCATGGAAGGGTCACTGGCCGGGGAGGCTCTGCCCCAGTCAACGCAGGGTTCCACCCCCTGGTTGGTCCCAGTGGGTCTAAGATAGAAAACGTGTTTCTGTGTGCAACATGATTTTAGAAGCAGGCGGGGAATGCACAGTCACACACCGGTCTTCCAACCAGTCCCCAAAATCTTTCCCCTGAGACCTGCTTCCTTGAATTACCTTACTGTCTCCCAAAGTAAGGCCTGTGTTCAAATGCTAGCTTTCAACACTCCTTGAACTGATAGAGTGGAGAGGGATCCAGGACCACTAACGTTTGAGTTTTTTTTTTTTTAATGAGATATAATTTACATGCCACAAAATTCACCCCTTTAAAGTATACATTTCACTGATTTTTAGCATAATTACAAAGTTTGCCAACATCACCACCACTGAACTCCAGAATATTTTCATCACCTTGAAAAGAAACCCAATACTCATTAGCAGTCACTCCGCATTCCACCGGGCCACCACCAATCTACCTTGTGTCCCTGTGGACTTGCCCATTCCGTATGTGTGATGTAAATGGAATCATATAACATATGGCCTTTTGTGAAATGCTTGTGTCATTTAGCATAATGCTTTCAGGTGCATCCTTATTGTAGCATGACTCGGTACATCATTTCTTTTTATGACCCAACAATATTTCATGGTATGAGTGTACCATAGCCTACTTACCCATTCATCCATTGATTGACACTGGGTTGTTTCTTTTTGCCTGTTATAAAAAAAAAAAAAAACAATGCTACTGTGAACATTTGTGTCAAAGTTTTCGTGCAGACATATGTTTTTCTTCTTCTTGGGTATATATCCAGAAGTGGAATTTCTGGGTCATATGGTAAATCTATGTTTAACATTTTAAGGAGCTGCCAAACTGTTTTCCTAAGTAGCTGCATCAGGTGTACATTCTCTCCAGCCAGGTATACATTGTTCCAGTCTACCTCCTTGTCAAAACTCGTTACAGTCTGTCTTTTTTATTAGAGCCTGGGTGGATGTGAACTGACATCTCACTGTGATTTTGATTAGTATTTCCCTAATGTCAAATTGATGTTGAACATCTTTTCATGTGCTTAATGACCACTTATATACCGTCTTCAGAAAAATGTCTTTTCAAATACTTTGCCCATCTTTCAATTGGGTTATTTGTCTTTTTATTGTGGAGTTGTAATAGTTCTTTATATATTCTGGATATTAGGCCCTTGCCAATTGTATGATTCACAAATAATTTCTCCCACTTTATAGGTCTTTTCACTATCTTGATAGTGTCCTTAGAAGCACAAAATTTGTGATTTTAAGTCCAATTTATCTCTCTTGTCTTTGATTGCTTATGTATTTGGTGTCATATCTAAGAAACCATTTTCTTATCCAGGTCACAAAGATTTACTCCTATGTTTTTATCTAACAGTTTTATAATTTTAGCACTTACAGGTAAGTCTTTTCTCCATTTTGAGTTAATTTTTGTATAAGGCATTAAGTAGGGGTCCAATTATCCAGTTGTCCCAACACCATTTATTGAAAAGGCTATTCTTTCTCCATTGAACTGTTTTGACACTCATCAAAAATCAACGGACTGTAGGTGTATGTGTTTATCTCTAGACTCTCAATTTTATTTAACTGATTTATATACCTATCCTTATGCGAGTCCCACGCTATCTTGATTACGGTAGCTTTGTAGTAAGTTTTGAAATCAAGCAAGATTGTTTTGTCTGTGCTCAGACCCCTGAATTTCTATATTAATTTTAGGATCTGATTTTGAATTTCTGAAAAAAAAAAAAATGAAACTCGGATTTTGGTAGAGATTGTATTAAATCCATAGATCAATTTAAGGAGTATTGCCATTTTTAACAAGAGTAAGTCTTCCAATCCATGGACACAGGATATATTTCCATTTACTTAAGTCTTTAATTCCTTTTGATTTTTTGTAGTTTTTAGTATTAAAAAACTTGTATAAAACCTTTAGTTTTAGGATATAAAGCCTTTCTTGTTAAATTTATTCCAAAATGTTTTATTCTTTTTCATACTGTCATAAATAGAATTTTCTTCACAATATTCTTGGATTGTTCCTTGCTCATATATAACAATAAAGTTGATTTTTGTATATTGATCTTCTATCCAGCAAATTTGCTGAACTTGTCCATTAACTTTAATAGGTTTGGTGGGGGGTGGGGAGGTGGTTGAAGATTTTTTAAGGAGTTTCTATACAGCAGAATGTCCCATCTGCAAATGGAGAGATTTTAAATCCTTTCTTTCTAATCTGGGTCCCTTTTGGTCTGTTTTTTTCTTATCTAATTGATCTGGCCAAAACTTGCAGTACATTATTAAATCGAAGTGACAAGAGAACCAACATCATTGTCTCATTCCTGATCTTAAAGGGAAAGCATCCCATCTTTCACCGTTATATGTAATATTAACTGTGGGTTTTTAGTAGATATCCTTTATTAAGTTGAGAAATTTCCTTTCTATTCCTGGTTTTTTGAATGTTTTTATCAGGAAAGGTTGTTGAATTTTTCAAGTGGTTTTTCTGTGTCTATTGAAACAATCATGTGGGTTTTTTTCTTTTATACTTTCAATAGTAATAATTGCTTGATTTTTTTATACATTGAAACAGTCTTGAATTCTGAGAATAAATCCCACTTGGCCATCATTCTTTTTATATGTTACTGAATCTGGCTTGGTAGTGTTTTGTTAAGGATTTTTGCATCTGTATTTATAAAGCAGATTGATCTGTAATTTTCTTTTTTGTGATGTCTTTGTCTGGCTTTGGTGTTAGGGTAATACTAATACTAGCTTCACAGAATGTGATAAGAAGTATTGCCTTCTCTTCTGTTTTTTGAAAAATACTGTTATTAATTCTTTAAAGATTTGGTAGAATGTACAGCCATCTGCACTTGGGCTTTTCTTTGTGGGAAGTGTTTTGTTTGTTGTTTTTGGTTTTGCTTTGCTAATATAATTTACTTTGTTATAAGTCAGCTCAGATTTTTCTGTTTCTTCTTGAGTCAGTTTGGTAGTTTTTGCCTTTCTAGGAATGTATCCAGTTCACCTAGGTTATCTGATTTGTTAGCACACAATTATTCATTTCTTTAGAATCCATTTCTTTATAACATTTTTAATTTTTTTAATGTTTATTTATTTTGAAAGAGGGAGAGAGTGTGTGAGAGGGGGAGGGGCAGAGAGAGCGGGAGACACAGAGAATCTCAAGCAGGCTCCTCACTGTCAGCGCAGAGCCTGATGTGAGGCTCAATCCCATGAATCATGAGATCATGACCTGAGCTGAAATCAAGAGTCAAACAACTGCCTGAGCCACCCATGCACCCCAACCCATTTTATTTCTTGAAGGTTGGTAGTCATGTCTCGTCTTTGATTTCTGATTCTGGTAATTTCAATCTTCTTTTCTCGTCTTGGTCAATCTAGCTAAAAGTTTGTCAATGTTGACCTTTACAAAGAACCATCTTTTAGTTTCAATGATTTTTCTGTATTTTTCATTCTCTATTTCATTTATTTTCTTGATAATCTTTGTTATATCCTTCACTCTACTTGCTTTTGGTTTAGTTCACTGTTATTCTAGTTTCTTAAAGTGGAAGGTTAGGTTGTTGATACAGAATATTTCTCTTTTTAGCACAGGTCTTTATACCTACAATTTCCCTCTAACACTGATTTAGCTGCATCCCATAAGTTTTGTTTTCATTCATCTCAGAGTAGCTCCTAATTTCTTTTCTGATTTCCTCTTTGATCCATTGATTATTTAGGAGCGTGTTGTTTAATTGCCACATCATTTCCCAAATTTCCTTCTGCTTTTGATTTCTAAATTCACTCCATTATGGTCAGAGAACATGATTTCAATCCCTTTAAATTTAGTGATACCTTTTTATCGGTAAAAATGTTTTACTTATCCAACTTTGAGCTGTATTACAAAGCTGTAATCATCAAGACAGTATGGTACTGGTACAAGAACAGACACTCAGATCAATGGAACAGAATAGAGAACCCAGAAATGGACCCACAAATGTATGGCCAACTAATCTTTGACAAAGCAGGAAAGAATATCCAATGGAATAAAGACAGTCTCTTCAGCAAGTGGTGCTGGGAAAACTGGACAGCGACACGCAGAAGAATGAACCTGGACCACTTTCTTACACCATACACAAAAATAAACTCAAATTGGATGAAAGACCTCAATGCAAGACAGGAAGCCATCAAAATCCTCGAGGAGAAAGCAGGCAAAAACCTCTTTGACCTTGGCCGCAGCAGCTTCTTACTAAACATGTCTCTGGAGGCAAGGGAAAAAGGTTTTACTTATCTTATGGCCTAACATATGGTCTATACTGGAGAAGGTTCCATGGGTGCTGTAAAAGAATGTGTATTGCCTTTATAGAAGAGAGAATTTTTGGAGATCCTTACTCCACCGTTTTCATTGATATCCTCAAGACATTTAAGTTTTAATGTAGGAAGGAAGTTGGGGAAATCTATAGACCATCAGCATACAATAGAAGTATAATATGAGCCACACATGTTTGTTCAAATGTCTATTAGCCACATTTTTTAGAAGTAAAAAAAAGCAGTTATTTGATTATATAGTCAGTATAAAGTATCGTTGAGATATTTTACACATTATTTTTTCATAGTAAGTCTTCAGAATATACTTAGAGCACATCTCAATTCAGATTATCCACATTTTAAGTGTTCAATAGCCACAGCTATTGGCTGTGATATTGGACAGTGCAGTTTAAGAGCAAGCAGTCCTGAACTAGGAGGCCACAGATAGAACCAAGGGCAGATAAACTTGGATGGGGAAGATAATTTACCTTTATTTCACTAACCTCCAATGAACTTTAGTACTTATTTCAATTATAAATATAAATAATGAACTATAACCATATCAGTAGCACCTGAGATTGTTGTCATTGTCACAGATTGGGCTCCCCTAGAAAGCTGACTTTGAGATGGTGATTTTCATGTAAGAAGTTAACTGGGATGTGCCTTTGCAGTCAATAGTTGTAGAAGAGGAAGGGCAACAGGATTAGGCGAAGAAGTTGGGCAATAAGGGCCCCAGGTGACCCTATGGTCAGCTCTAGATCTCAAGCAGCCCTTTAAAGTTGTCCTGAGTTGGGGTGAAGAGGCCCCACTTATTCACTCACTGCTACTTTGAAATTATAATAGATATTGGACTGGCTGTACCTATATGTAGATCATAGGATTTTTTTAAATATTGTAATAACTGCTTCAGTGTAACTGTTTTTCTTTGCTATACTATTTATTTTATCCATTTCCAAACATTATTCTAGAAAGAAGTCCACAGCCTTGCCCAGCTGCCACCAGGGATCCATGGCACAAAAGTCTATGAAACCCAACTGTGAAGAATGTGTAGTGGTCCTAGGAAGAGCTGGCCTGTGTGCAGCACTCTGGACCACAATAGAGAATGGACACATGTCTTATGATCATTTGTCTTTATCAGGACACCTACCAACCTTCCCTATCCCCAAATGCCCTTGCTCTCAAAAAGCTGTATTATTTGATAGTTTGTCATGACTTCTCTTAAAAGGATCTCCGGTCATCCAATGAAGACAGCCATATTGTGAAAATGGAAAAACTCAATGAAAGGAGTAAAAGGAGAGAAAGCGGGGCAGCTCATCGGGGCTCTACAGGCTTGGGGGGCATCAGCCTCTTCCAAGCAGTGGGATACCTCACAGGGGACATGAAGGAGTGCAGGAGCTGGCTGAAAGGTAGGCAAAGTCCCAGGAAAGAAGCAGCCGGGCTGGGCCAGGGAGACAGCCCTCCCTCAGGTGTGAGTGGAGGAAGCTGCTCCCTCACTCACCCATTGAGAGGACTCCCACAGTTGGAGTACTCCCACCCTGAGTTGACTCTGGATGGGTCCAATGTACCCTGCTAACTTGGAATTCCCATGGAGTTTCAGAATTAAATACACTTCACTAATTTTAGTGCTTTGCAAATTCTTTGCCCCTATGTGGAATAGATACAGGACAACCACTTAGTGGTATATAAGTCATTTCCCAAACAAGCTGTCATTCCTTCCCTTGTTCCATGGCCATTTATTATGTGCCAAGAAAATATTGACATCACCCTCCACCATGTTCCAAGGCTCTTTCTTTCCTTTCAACGTCCTTCTTCTCCTAGTTTACCTCAACTAAATACTGCAACAAACAGCCCTTCCCTCCCCAATCACACCCTCATAGGCTGTCCTGGAAACCAAACCAGAATGTATGTTCCCTCTTCTTGACCTGGCTTCCCCTAGGTCCTAACTCAATACTGATTCCACAGCTGAGCTAAAGCCATTTCCTTTCCAGCTCCTTTTCTCCAGATGACTTTCTTTGCTGCTCAGATACCAGTTCTCAACTGAGTCATACGGCACAACACAAAAAGAGGGTTTCCCTGCCTCCTCACCCCTTCCCTTGGACCAATAAATTTCCCTTGGAATGCTCCTGAGGCTTCCTTGCCAACCAAGTCGAGGGCTGGAACGGCGTTAAATTGGTCTCAGCACGATGCCTCAGTCTGTACGGCAAAAACTAACACCCACTGTGGACTGATTGCCTAGCCACTCAGAGACTTGGGCTAGGTGCCAGACCAAACGAGAGGAAATGTCCTGGCTCGTGCATCCTTGTTTGCCTTGGTTGCCACGCCAACCAGTGGTCCAGCAGGGAAGCACAACCGGGACTCTGCTGATGGCTCTGCCTGTCTCTTTCAGATAAGCCACTGGCCCTCCAGGTTACAGACTGGGTCCTGAGGGGCACTGCTCAGGTAATGTTTGTCAACAACCCTCTCAGCGGACTCATCATCTTCATAGGGCTTCTGATCCAGAATCCCTGGTGGACGACTGCTGGGGTGTTGGGGGCAGTGGTCTCAACCTTAACTGCCCTCGCCTTGAACCAGGACAGGTGGGTGCCTGTCTGCAGTGGTCGTGGGGTCTTGGTTAGACAGATAGAGAAGTGTGTCCCTGAGTGATCAGCCAACGTTATCCTACCAACCAGCCCAAGTCTCCTAAAGATTAACCTTGAACAGGTCACTGGAGGTCTCTACAGAATTAAACCACTCCTGTGCTCAAAGCAAGTGACAGCACTAGGCTCCTTTTGACGGTAGATCCTTCTGGAAACATTCCCTATGAGGCGGATGCAGAGGAACTCTTAAACTGTTCTTCCCTTATGGAACCTACAGTCTGGTTGACTAACAGGCAAGAAATGTCCCAGAATAATATGAGACGGTATATACCGGAGAGCTCAGAGAAGACAGATGTTTCAGAGTGTTTGGGGGGTGGGGGTATGAGAGAGGGTGGCCTTTGAGCTGGAAACATGGGATCTGAGAGAGAGGAGGAAGGTAGAGTGGGGAGGGCAGTGTGGAGGTGGGAGACAGCTAGAGGAGGGCCCCCCCCCCCCCCCCCCTGCACTGGTAGCTGCAAAGTCCAGGAACAATAACGAGTAGCATTTTCTGGAACTGGACCATTTTCTCAGACTTTGCCCCATGCTGTTCCAACAGTTCCCAAATTTTCCTGATGGCTAGAGTCACCAGGGCTGGCTGTTAAGAAATGTGACTTCTCCACCCCAACCACTTCTGTTCCCTCAGATAGTCCCATTCAGTGGGTCTGGGAGGGGATGTTTTTAACAAGATCCTCCTGGATGCTTCTGATCATCAGAGAAGTTTGGGAATGCTCATGTTTTTAGTGTTTTTCAGTTTGGGGTCACCAATCCGTTTGTGGATCATGAATCAATTGGCAACAGCATTTTTAAAAATTAAAATAATAAAATAAAATAGAGTAATTCATGTGTAGGAAATATTTTGTGACATTTTTGTTTCATTAGTGTTGGGATGTGTTGTATATGTGGGGGGTGGGTGAGGTTAGGGAGACTGAGAGAGAGAACTGAGTCATGCTCCTTACCGCGGTATTCCCTCCTTACCGCGGGTTACTGTCAAAAAGATTGAAAAGCACTGTCATGCCTTGTTACATGTGAGTCTTGCCATCACATCACCAGGCAGACAGTGAAAGTAGGAGAAAGACTGGGAGGAGCAGGTATTCACCTAAGGTGCCACAGTCAGTGGGTAGCAGGGCTCGGGCTGCAACACAAAGCCTGCATCTTCTAGGCTGAAGGTCAGTACTGTCCTTGTCATACAGACAGAGTGTGGACAGCAAGGCCAAAGGGCCCCTGGTGAACCCAGGGGATGGGGAGTCATCAGAGTTGGTTGTGTTGTGACCAACATCACACTTCACCCAGGCCTACCTCACATTCCAGATGCCACCAAGGCAAATTTGTGAGTCAGTTTGTCTCCCCTGAGAAGCCATTCATGCACCTCTGAGGTGGCATTAGGGGAGCACTCTGATTCTAGCAAGCCAGGAGGCCATGACAAATTGGATGAAGGAGAGGCTGAATTATTTTGTGTGCAGGTCTGGTGAGTGACATAAAAAATAGGCTCCAGTCAGGATTTTGTGTCTCTCTTTAACCCAGTAGGTTCCCTATTCCTTGTTTCCAGTTACTTGTCATCTCATGGGCGGCTGGCACAGAACTGGCCCCTGACAAGATTAACTCTTGTCTCACTGCTTCATCACTGTTGGGTAAAACACCAGGGGTGAACTCTGTCCAGCCCACCAGCTCCTTAGCTATGTGACCTTGGGCAAGTACTTCCCCTCCTGGCTCCATTGTCCTCATCTGTGAGATCTGCTGCTTACTGGCTCACCTTCAAGGAGCCAAAGCCCCTTCATGCTCTGACTTCCCTCTTGACCATAATCTACTGGTAAATTTGCCAAGCCATTCAGAGAGTTGCTTCATGGACTTCAGTACTATGGAGGAGACACACACCTAATCCTCCCAAACATTTTAGTAAGACTAGTGCGTGCCAGTTTGGCTTCCAGAGATTTCTCTGCTGGGGCCCACCACATCTACCACTCAGCATCACACTGTTCCCACCTAAGCATTTTTGCTTCTGCCTGTCTAATCCTACCATTCCTTCAAATCTTCCTCCTACAGGGAGCCACCCCTAATTATCCCAGTGCTCTCTGAACCCTCCCTTCCCACTGGACAACCACAGAACATACCCTGGTACTATATAGGTTGGCTCTCTAATTATTTTCTGAGTCTTCTCTCCCTGGCTGTGTTCTAAGCATGTTCAGGACAGGAAGTCCATTGTGAATGTTTCATATTCTACTACTATGTCAAGAAAAGATTCATTGCTGGTAGGTCAGTACCATGTTCTATACCATAGGTTCAAAACTCTAGACACCCTACACAATATCCACACATAAATCCTTCTAAGGAGCCCTGACTTCACCACTGTCCCCAGCAAATCACTGACACAGCTACATGATCTAAATATAACCCCCACCGTCCCTCTCTACCACCCTTACTCCCCCACCCCTGTTCCCCTGACCACCGCTACTTCCTGTCCACCAGTCCTACCCCCCTCCTCCTCCTCCATCAGCCCATGTCCCCCCTTATCCCTGTTACCCTAACCCCACTACCCCAGAGACTGTAGCTCACAGAGAGTAACTCAAGGTCAACAGCACTAATGCTGCAGTCCTGAAGGAATGTGGTCCTAATGAAGATCTTTTTGGCATTGGGGTTAAACCAAGTTTTACATATTTGATAGTCAGAGCAGATATAAGGTAATGGGTTTCATTCTGACAACCAAACCCAGAAGCCACCAAAGTTTTGGTAGAGAAGTGTTCTGGGAGGGAACTTCCACAGAGAGGGGTTCTAATTTTGTCTCCCCTGGGCTCCCTTGTTTGATTCCTGCTATGCCCACTGCACCCTGCCACTGGGACTACAGGACAGCCCCCAGTATGGGTCAGCCATTTTTTTTCTCAGCTTGCCTGAAGCAACTAGTATTAAAACCAAAAAAGTACTAAATCCTAACACTGAACAGAAATGGGAAAACACAGATAAAATGCACACACACACACAGACTTAAAACTAATTATTTTCCCAAAACATGGGTTTCTGCTTTTTAGGTAGATTTTCTAGTCCCAAGGAGATAGATTCCAAACCCCAGCGGTCTTCCCTCCCAGCCACTCTTCCACCCACCTCATCCTCCCCACCCCCTACCCCAACCCCCGTCTCCAACTGCCCCATATGTTTATGGCCTCAGGAGCAGCCAGCCCTCTAACCAGTGTCCCATACAAGTGTCCCCACACAGTGCCATGTGTTCAGCTTTTCTTGTTGGAAACTGTCTAGAGATACCTCCTCCCACCCTCCAGCTGCTCCCACTCTCCTCAGTCTAGCTGAGCTAATCTCCTGGCCACTCCAGAGCTGAAAGCTCCCCTCATTCCAGACCCAAGCCATGGCCTCTGCCAGGCAGGAGCCATCCTCTAGCCAGAACGCCCTTCTTCCCTCCTTATGCTTCTGGATGCCCTTGCTGGGCAAAGACAATCAGTCTGTGAAAAGCTTTAGCATGTACACACACCCATTCAACAACCAAGCAAGGCCTAGAGCCCTCTGTGCACCAGACGCTGTTTTCTGTTACACTGATGTCAGACAGACAAGTTCCAGCCTGGACAACTTACAGTCAAGGGCAGGACAGAGCACAGTACACAAACCTCATGCTCTGGCAGGGGTCTTGCAGTGATTTGCCCAGTCCCTCCTTCACCCTGTTCCCCATCCCCCAGCCAGCTGAGCCATGGGAAGGGTCAAGGGCAGGGTTTATTAGCATCAGGGAGAGAAGTTTAGGAGCACATAGCCTTCCCTGATGAAACAAAAAGAAAGGATAGACTCAAGCTTGGATTCTCCCCACCGCTGGGCCCCTCCCTATCCTGCTGTGGGGAGAGGCTTTTGTGCATCCCCAGCGGGTTCAGCTTGTCCACTCTGGGACACAGGCCAACTGCAACAATTACAGCTTCACACGATGCAGTCAGATGCACTCTGTCCTCCCCCTTCTCTCCCACCCCTCCTCCCTGTCTCCTACACACACACACACACACACTTTCCCTGGTGTCATACCTCAGGTTTCTATTAGATCTCTCACTAAACTTAGCAGTCTGAGACCCCCTGAGAAGCCAAGAGGGAGCTTAGACACAGTGAGAAGACAAAGTGCATACTTTAATTCTAGAACAGCAAGGTAATCAGGGCCGTGTGTGTGTGCATGTGTGTGTGTGTCAGATCTAGGAAGGCACTAGCAGCTGTGTGACTGCCCAACACTCAGGAGTAAGCTGACTTTCTTCTGGGAGTACCAGGGAGGGCCCTACAAGCCCCACCAAATTCAAATGCAATGTAACTGCCCCCACCCAGGTCTGCCATCGCCTCAGGCCTCCACGGGTACAATGGAATGCTGGTCGGAATACTGATCGCTGTGTTCTCTGAGAAGTTAGACTATTACTGGTGGCTTCTGTTTCCTGTGACCTTCACAGCCATGACCTGGTGAGATGCCTCCTTCTTTCTGCTCACAGACCCGCAGGGCCCCGTGGTGCTTGCATCTTACACTGGATGGGGACATGTGCCCTCCTGGAGCCTAGTGTCTTCAGAGTCAGGCTGGCTCTGACACGTGGCCACAAGACATGGTGGCGTGGCCACAAGACACGGTGAAAATCCATCAGTTTGATTGCAACACAGCAGATCATTTTTTTTTATTTTGGAATAACAGGGATCCTTTAGAGCAGCAGTGACCACAGGTGTTTTATTGTGCTAATAATCTTCCTTGAATGTTAGGTTTAATAACAAAAGGTAACCTTTATTGAATATTTCGTGCAAGACAAGCCCTGTGCTCAGCCAGGTAGGGTTATTTTTGTCCCCAGTTTACAGAAGAAAAGAACAAGTCATGAAGAGGTTAAGTAATTTGCCCCAGGCCATACTTCTATAAAATTTTTGATGATGAACCCAGAGTCTGCAACTGTTAAACTCCAGGCTACATGGGAATTACCTAAACTGTGGCCTGACCAAGATGGAAAAGCTAAAAACTCACTTGTGATAGAATCAGAACTCTCTTGGAGAAGAATGTCTATAGTGAAAGCATAGGATCTTTGAACAAGAAACATCAGTTGAGATCTTGCTGTACAATCACTTCATTCTGCAAAGGAATAAAAAAGTCAAGAGAAAGGGTCTTGGGAACAAATATTTGTTGAGATGAGGGGTGTGCTGTGGCTCAGCTCACCTGGATCTTGGGCAGGTCTTTGCTACCTGATGCTATCATTCTTATGCATGCCGTCACCAAAGAGCAGGAGCCCAAGGTGACCCATGTCCTCCAGTCTGTGCCCCACAGCTGTGAGACATGCTAACTCATTTTCAACACCTCTAAGAAGTACATATCTTTCTTAGATTTCTGGAGTCACTAAAACAGTTAGTTTAAGTACTAATTTATTAAGTTTCAGTTTATTACTTTTTAGCAGTGCTTGTAAATAAATTACTACATTAAGCATTTTGGGAAATTTATGTTTCTTCTCAGGGTTTCTGTGTTTCTGAATCCATTGGGACAAAAACTATAGCAGTCATTTCTATGGGGATTTCCTCAATGCCCCGCACCTGCCCCCATGTAAGGCATAGGAGACCCTGTCTTCATTTGCATACATTTGGTTTATAACAAAAGAGTAAGCCTCTCATGTCAAGATTTGATAACTGCTTTGAAGAAAGCAAAACAGAGCAAGTGGGACAGAGAGGGATTCCAGACGTGAGTGGTCAGGGAAGGCCACTTTCAGGAAGGAGCATTCATGCTTTCCCCTAAATGATAAAAGGCACTTGCCATCTAAAGATCTAGTGAAGGACGTTGCAGACAGCGGTGGTGGCATGTGCAGACCCCAGCTGGAGGAGGGCCCCATGTTCAGGAAACAAGACCAGCGGGGGCTTATGCCCAGTGAATGAAGGAGGAATGGAGGAGGTGAAGGCAGAAGTAAATGAGGGCTAGACCCCGTTTGCTTTGAGGATCCAGTAGGCTTTTGTATTTTTATTACAACTGTGATGGGAAGCAGTTAAAGGGTTTTAAGCAGAGATGTGATAGGATATGGTTTAAATTTAAACAAATCGCTCTGCTTGCCTTGTGGAGAATGGATTTTAACTGGAGCAAGAGCGGATGCTGGAAGCAGAGTCAGGAACTCACAGAGAGATGAGAGTGGTCTGGACAAGGGTGATACACAGGAAGGTGGTTGGGTTTAGGATGTATTTTAAGGAAGGCAAAGGCAACAAGACTCTCTGGGAGGCTGTGGAGTTTGCGGGGTGGGGAAGAAAAGAGGATTCAGTACACTCCTATAGTTTGCCTGAGCACCTGGATTGATGGACAAGACTAAGAGAAAAACAGGTTGGTGGTAGGAGACAAGGTGTAAATCAAGAGTTCTGACAGACATATTAGGCTATAGACTTCCAAGTAGACATGTTGACAAGGTAACTGGATTTACAAATCCAGAACTTTGATATGGTCAAGATTTGGAGGGCAGAAGTATACAGAAGACATTTTGTTCATGGGACTAAAAGATATCACCCAGAAAAAGAAGATGAAGAGAAGACCCAAGGCCGCGCCATAGGATATTCCAGTATCTAGATGACTGGGAGAAGAGAGAAAGAACCACAAAGAAGTGACAGGGAGCAGCTGGAGAAGTAGGAAGAAAGCTAAGAAAGGGCAGTATCATGGTAGCCCTGACAGAAAATATTTCAATCCAGTTGGAGCATCCGATTATCAAATGAAGGGAGCAGGGAATGGCCATAGATTTGGTAGGATGGATGTCATTAGTGAACTGGACAAGAGCCACTTGCATGGCATGGAAAGAACACACACCTGATTGGAGTGGATTTAGGAAAGAAAGGGAGTGGAAAGATTGACCATAGCAATCTCTTGAGGAATATTTGTTATGAACAAGGGCAGGGAAGTGGGGCAAAATAGCCAGAGGGGACATCGGATTAGAGGAGGAGGGTGTTAATAGGAAGAAGATACTAAAGCACTTTGTAAACTTATGAGAGTGTTCCAGAGATAAAGGAGAGACTGCACCTGCAGGAGAGAGAGGAGAGAATTGCAAGAGTGAAGTCTTTGAGACAGATTGGATCTTGAAGCACAAGAGTAAGAATTGGCCCAATAAAGAAAGAGGAATACTTTCATTATGTGACAAAGGCAGAGAGGAAAACTATGTAGGAGCTGGGCAATTGGAGTGTAGAGCTTACGGTTGGGAAAATGAAGCATTTCTCATCTTGTCATTTCTATTCTTTTATTCTCAACAAGTTGGAGAGTTAATTTGTATGGACTGTGTAGTAGGGTTTTCAGGCAGTCATAAATGCCCATTGGAGACTCAAGGTCATGAATTAAAGGTAGACCAGTCAGCCAGATCATGTGATTTCATGTTTTGTCCCAACAGCTCTTTGAGTGTGAAGACGTAGGGTGTTAAGTGTCTACGGTGGCTTGTCCTTTCGAGGAAACTAAAGTTCAGGGAGATCATTACCTAATGCTGCTCACTCAGCCTATAAATGTAGGAGTTAGGATTTGCACCCAGCTACATCTGCTTCCAACATGCCTGCTTCTCTCAAGGAAGAGGCCGAGAAAAGAGAGGACACAAACAACTGAAGGTTTCATCTTCATGTGGTGGCTTCCAGAGTAGCTCAAAGCACTTCAGCTGAATCAAGCCCACACATTACCTTTGTGCCATAGCAGCTGCCTCCTCCAAGACCAGGCTTCTAAAATGTTATCACAGTGCAGGAGAGTAGCTGTTGTACATCCTGATGATTCAAGGGCAATACACATTATTTTCTAAGGATTACATTTTGTTTAATTTTCTTAGTTTAAGAAACAAGCAAATATTTAAATTATAAACGTTTATATTCAAGTATTATATTTGCTATTCAAGTATAATTTATAATATATTCAAGTATATTTACACTTTAAAAATGCATCTCTCAAAGATTCACCTTAAATGGAACACCTTATCCCCAGTCCCAGATAAATGGACCACTAGAGTCTCAAAGGAGCCAGGAATGGCTGGGCCAAGGACAGGGGGGCACCATGGACAGAGCTGATGAGACAAGATGGTGTAGACCTAAGGATAAGCACAGATTAACCCTTTGTCTTGTTCATCTTCAGCCCAGTTCTTTCCAGTGCCTTGAATTCCATCTTCAGCAAGTGGGACCTTCCTGTCTTCACGCTGCCCTTCAACATTGCTATGACCCTGTACCTGGCAGCCACCGGCCACTACAACCTCTTCTTCCCCACAACACTGGTGGAGCCTGTGTCTTCAGTGCCCAATATCACCTGGACAGAGATGGAGATGCCCTTGGTAAGTTACCCAATGGCAGATGAGTGGGGACCCCTGCTTATACCACACACCTTCTTGATAACTGGTTTGTGGATTATCCAGGCTCTCAGCTTCTCCAGATGCATCTCCACCAGATGATGGTCATAGTAGAGAACAGGACAGAGAAAAAGGCTGCTGTGCTTTCAACAAACCCTCATTGAAGGTCTGATATGTACCAGGCACTTTATCAGACACTAGGAATACACGGGGAATAAAAGGACAACAACTTCTCTGCCCTTGTGAAGTGTACTCTCTGTACAGGGAAACAGACAGTAAATAAGTGCATAGGTCAGTACCAAGTTAATTATACAGAATGGTAGGGTTCAGGGAAAAATACTCAAGAAGGTGGATGGTTGGGTGAAGGGGCCAGATACTAAAACAAATGTTTAAAATTAGGGTTTTAAAGGTCTTATCAAGAGAAGATAGGGATGAATTTTGATGTGCTTTCCATATCAGTGACTTTCAAGCAGGGGTGACTTTGCCCTCCTGGAGGGAGGAAGCAAAATTTAGACTGGGGGGAGGGGTGCTACTGGTATCAAAAAGTCAGGGATGCCACCAAACATGCTACTATTCACAAGACAGCCCTCCCCATAACCAAGAATTATCTAGCCCCAAATGTCAATAAATATCGAAGTTGAGAAACCCTGCTTCACATCCAACTATCACAAATGTACATATTCATTTATTCTACCAATCTCTAGACACTTGGGATAAAGGAATATAATAAAAACCTAACACAAGATTAAATAGACAGAATTGTAAAATTTGGCCTTGTTCATGAACAATAGAGAGAGCTAACAGCTAAGGCTACGGCAAGCTTATTACGTATCAGACACTGTTCCAAGCCCTTGACTTCTGGACTTAATTTAACCCTCCTAATAGCCCAATGCTGTAAGTACTATCATCATTCCCATTCACAGATGAGAAAACTAAGGCACAGAGAAGGTTAGCTGCCCAAGCTCAAACTGCTGCTAGTGCCTGAATATAAAACCCAGGCAGCCTGATGTAGAGCCCAGGCTTTGACCCATCACCCACTTAGTCCCAGGTGAGACAGACACCCTCATCTGGAACAACCACAGTGAGGTGAAACCTGCTTCTCAATGCAGTCCACCCCTCATTAGGTACCGTGAAGTATTAGAGAGCTCTTTACCTTCCTCAGAAATCTGTCCCCCTCCATCTTTCACCCATTGGTTCTAACTCGGCTGTTTAGAGTAATTCAGAATATTATTTCTATGATTGCCTTTTGAATACTTACACATAGAACTACATCCTCAGTATTGTTTATGTAGTCTGCTTTCCCAGCCCTCACCACCCAGCTGAGCCCATCATCAAGATGGGCTGCTGGGGGCTCAGCTCCAGGGCCACCACTCGTGGGTGGGGAGGACAGTTCAGGGGTTTCAGGGTCAGCCACACTCGGACCTGAAGCTATCAGAAAAGGAAAGTCTTCCCTGCCCCTAGTGCAAATGCTAACTATGCAAAACCTTTTTGAATATTTTGTCTTTTCAAAGTTTTGTCTGGGGCAGGGGCTGGAGGGGCATCAGAGTCAGGGTTAGGATCTAAATCCAAGAGAATGGAAAAGACAGAACCCTGCATTGGAGGGAAAGCCCACTGTCTCAAGTAGAAAATGGCAGGGGCAGGAGCAGGGAAAAAGCTCTAACTCTGAGGGGACTGTCAGTGATCATCAGCTGGCAGTTAGGCACATTGCCATAAGGGCACAGACCTGCTGTCCCTGAGCCCTACCCATGAGGCAGAGTCCCAGTAACAGCCTCGGGGGCATGGGCGTTGCCCATGGAGCCTCCCACCCTCCCCACTGAGGGGCACAGGATGGAGACGGCCACCTGCGAGAGATGCCTCTCATTCATCTTCAAAGTGAACAGAAAGTGGCAGCATGCAAATCCATATACCCTGAGGCACCAGCTCCCCCACCACACCACTACTTTCACAGTGGGCTCCTTCTCTTCCACACCATCCAGGTCCCAACTCCCCTTCCCTCCTTGTCTTTTAAACAATGATGAGAATGACTTCCTTTTTGTTTAGCTGGCCTTTCTTGTTACTAGAGGATGGTCGAGAGTAGGCAGTAGGAAGGATGCAGGGGCTCAGTAAATTTCCATGCACACCCGACTGCCCTTCACACCTTCACCCCAGGGTGTTGGAGAGCAGGTGGAAGGGAGGGGTGCCACCCCAGGGCCACAGTTCACCAAGCTAAAATATGGATCCCGGCAGAGGAAGGTGCTTTCTGAGCCCAGACTCTGTTCTGAGGCTACGTGTCCCTCATTCTTCTCATTCTTGACTGCTTGGGCTTCAAATCTGTGTTCCCAGACAGCAAGGGGGAAGTTGGAACCCTCTTTGCATCCTGCATGCCTCAGACTTTGGGAAGTCATGGAATATTTATTGAGTACATTTTCAGCCAGTACCCCACACTTAAGCTGAGTTCCCTGAACTGGCAGAAAGCATTCTCAGGGTTCCTTTAAATAAGATGCACACCCCCATCATTCCTGGCATGAGGCTCTAGGCTCTGGCCCAGACAGTGCTTGGTAATTGAAAGGCCACCCATCCAGAGACCAGGATGGGCAAAGCTTAAAAAGCTCTGTGGGACTCCTCAAACACTGTTCTCTAAAGAAATCAGACTGACTCCAGAATTAAATCAGGTTGTTATAAAGTACAAAATTTCACCCAAAGGGAGATGTGCAATTAATTTCCAACATCTACAGCAGGTCATGTATAACTAACTCAGTGGTCCCCAAACTCAGTTGCACTTGGGAATCTCCTGAGGACCTGGTCATGCCCCATACCAGTTAAATCACAATGTCTAAGGAGGAGCCAGTCATCAAATTTTTTTTCTAGGATTTCCAATGTAGAGCAAAGTTTGGAAACTGCTGAGCTAATCAATACATATTTATTAAGCACCTATTATGTACCCAGCCATCAAGGAGCCTGGCCCTCAAAGAGGTCACATGACATAGTAATAGAGCAAAGACAGCAGAATTTTAAAGGTGGGAGATTATCTGCTATGGCAGTCTTCTCATGTTACAGAGAAGGGCACCAGAGCCCAGCATGAGGAAGTGACGTACCCACCATCATTCCATGAGCTTGTGCAAAACTCCCCTGAAAGCTGGAGCCCTCAGCTCCCAGGCCAATACTCTTCCCTAGCCTGCCAATCTCCCTCCTCTCCTTCAGGCCCTCCTCTGTCAGATGTAGATGGTTCAGCTTGGGCAGAAAAAGGGCCATCTGACTCCCAAATTAGCCATCTACAATTACAACACCCTCAAATGACTCTCAAACTCGGGGATGTTTGGCTTTATTCTGTTTTTCAATGGTATACATATTATCTTTCTACAAATGCTAAGTGATCCTCGAGCAGAAGAAATGCCACCTCCTTCCCAGAGCCCCATAATACCCTAGGTAGCTCTGAATGTGCAGCAACCACCTCTAGACTAGGGGTCAAGCTCAGAGGCTCTAGCCTGGCCTTAGGCACCAATGATCTGGGTGACCTTTGACGAAATCAATCATCAAAATGGCCTAGAATATTTCCAATATTCCTGGAATACCTGTAGGATGTCAGAAGGTCTGGTGGAAATCCCCTAGTGCCCTGAAACTTCCAATGGCATTCTCAGAAGAGGGTGCCCTCTGGTTCTCTCAAAGCTCCTCCTCTCAAAGCAGAAACCATGTGTCTTTCAGAAGCACCTGTGTTGGGAGGGTTTTGCATGGGGGATGCCAGATGCCTGCTAGGTGGTGGAGTGAGGAGCTATTTGTTCCAGCTCATGTCCTTCCTCCCAAGTTCTCTTCCACGCTAGAGGGCACCGCCATCATCCCGTTCCAACCCATTACCCCCACCAGGAATGGCTTTGTCCTGACCCTAAGGCCTGCTCTTTTCATTATGTGCCCACACTCCAGTGACCCCAGATTCTGTTGACTTTGCAGCTGCTACAAGCCATCCCCATCGGGGTTGGCCAGGTGTATGGCTGTGACAATCCCTGGACAGGCGGCGTGTTCCTGGTGGCTCTGTTCATCTCCTCACCACTCATCTGCTTGCATGCAGCCATTGGCTCAATTGTGGGGATGCTAGCAGGTAGGACAGGGTCCCCTCTCTGCAGGGAGGACCTTGGGATAATTTTCCTGAGGTCATTCCATCCCTGCACAGGGCAAATAATCTAGACTTGTTATCTTCACTGGTGTTTTTGAACATTGTCAGGGGAGAGACTTATTTTTCCCTTTCTTGATTTTCCAAAGTGAGCAGACTGCCGCAGCAGGATATGTGGGGAGACACAAGGGGCTGAAGACCTCATTGGCTACCTGAGCCCCTGGGAGCTGAGGGGTGGAAGGAAAGGGAGGGTCACTCACAGGCCTGGAGAGCAGTAACAGACGGAGGAGTATAAATGACCCAGTGCTTTGAAATTTGGAGTAAACTAAAAGAAAGCAATTTCTCAAAAACTGTATTCCTATTTGACAAATGTGATTTAATATTTCTGCGTGTAGGCATATGTATGTACATGCATTTATATATGTAAATATGCACAGTAGAGCCAGAAATTGGAGTCGGGCACATAGGACTAGGATCCTGTTGACTCATTCCAATGTTTTTCAGAAACATCTTGGAAGCAGAACTTTAAAAAAATCATTTGAAAATAATTTTGAATTTATCAAAAAATTATAAAAGTAAAAATGGTACATGAAGCACCCATAAATTCTTTGCCTGATTCACCTGTTGTTCACATCCTGTACTTCTATTTGTCTATCTCTATACATCTGTATGTGTATATACATACTTTTCCTCAACCATTTGAAGCAGACCTTTTTCACTTGAAAAGTTTCTTGCTAAAAATGCAGCTACTCAGGCCAAAGGTGTGGAGAATACCTAGAATCCCAACGCCTTGACCTCCTCTCACCCTGAAAGTAGTCACACCTCTGTGTGAAATCTTCAAGCCACAGTTTGGGAACCACTGCTGTCCTCTTGTTGCTGGTTCCTGAAGACCAGATGCCATTTCTAGAGGCTCTTTTGATGGGATGGGGGAGGAGTGTGGGGAGGGGATAGCAGGAGTGAGGCCATCCTGAGAGCTGGCACCAGCCACGAGGTGACCTTTGTGTGGGGACCCAGAACTGACCAGAAACGTCACACCTTGTTCCACAGCCCTGACGGTGGCCACGCCCTTTGAGACCATCTACATGGGCCTCTGGAGCTACAACTGTGTCCTCTCCTGCATCGCCATAGGGGGCATGTTCTACGCCCTCACCTGGCAGACGCACCTGCTGGCCCTCGTCTGTGGTGGGTATTTGGGGAAGCTGACCACCAGGTCACTCTGCAATTCCTTCCTTCCCTCCCTACTTGATTATGCAAAACCCATGAGGAACATTAATCGGAACTTGGTAGCAGTTCTAGAAGGACCTGTGGCTTGGGTCCCAATGGGGGACTTGAGGTTCCTCTTCTGTGAAATGGAGTCACAACCATGCTTACTGTTTTTTATTGACACAGTGTTGTAAGTTTCCAAGGAGATCACACATGCATTTCCTCAGGTGCTAGTGGCAGTGTTCCAGTATAATAACTTCATCCCACAACCTTTTAGAGAACACCATGTAGTGCCACGCCCTAGGCTATGCATGGAAGATACAGTGGTGACCACATTGTCATGAAGCCACATCTAGAGGAAGAGCAGTTATTACACAATCATTAAGGCTGTGATGTCTGAAACGATTATTACAAAGACCCAGTGAGATGACATACCTGGGAGCACTGAGGTGTCAGAAGATCACAACATGGAAGCTTGATTTCCATGGAGTAAGTAGTGCACTGTCCCAAGGGAAATGGGTGCAGGCGCTCTCAAAGCTGCACCCCAGCGCCACATACAAACTCAGTCCTCCCAGATCACTACCAGGCATAGATTGTCAGCCCATTGTACACCCTGGTACCCAGAAGGTTTAATGAACTTAATCTAAAACACAGCTATTGAGGGCAGAAGCAAGATTCAAACCCCAGCCTCATCTTTCCCCCAGTTTTCCTGCCCTGGAGTTACTTACGTTTTCTGGAAACAGCAGGACTTTCATAAGCAAAACTGGAGACAAGTAAAGGGCAGAATAACGTTCAGAAGAACTTTTTCCCCGTTCATATGTGGAGACTGTAAATGACTTCCATGTATGTCTCTTGTATTCCCCTCAGCAGCCAGCAAGGAGACAGTAGGCTCGGTAAATATCTGTCAAGTCAGAAGTGCCAGATATTTTGAAGCTAAGACTGTAACTGCCTTTGGTCTTTGGAGAAGTGGCACATTCCTGTGGCTAGAACCATCTGGGAAAGCTTTGCAGGGAGGACGGGGTTTATCTCAACGCTTCCAGGATGGGAATTGGGTAGGTAGAGACAGGCGAAGAAGGTGTTCTGGACAGAGGAACAGAAAGAGCAAAAATGCAGGGGCATAAGAAGCTTGTCCAGAAGCACAAGGGCGTGGTTGAGCTCCCCTACCTGTCCTGGGGGCCACACCCTACAGTGAACCCCGAAGCCTGGATCCTAGGGACAAGTTCACAGACCAGTAAGGTCCAGTTCTGGTAAGGCTTGGTGTGGGTCCAACAAGTTCTATCAGGGCCGCTCAGAATCTTGGATGGGAGGAGCCTTGTTGGGGGTTCATATAGTCTGACCACTCATTCCTAAGACAGATAATAATCCAGCCACACATCCCCAAGGTCAGCGTGGACAAGCAAGCGTGACCCCTGACTGTATGCAAGGCCACCATAGAAGTGCGGAGGAGATAGAAGGCTTTAATCTCTGCCCTCAGAACACAGTCTGGTGGGAGATTGGCCACACCTACCTGCAAAAAAAAAAAAAAAAAAGCTACCATAATAATGTCAGGCAAATATGCCAGATGTCAGGATGTGGTGAGACACCAAGGCTGCCGGAGACAGTATAGGACCCCTGCCCTGGGGAAGAGGTGGGGGCAAACCCTGGGAAGCTGACTCCATGGTCCTTGTTTTTCCACAGCCCTGTTCTGTGCATACATGGGAGCAGCCCTGTCCAACATAATGTCGGTGGTAAGTTTGGATTCTCCTGAACATGCCTGTCCCAGCCAGGGCTTTAGGACATTTACAGTTTGTGAAAGAATCCTGAATGCATTCTGGTAGCTTGTATCCACACAATGCCTTTGTCAAGGTTTATCCAGGACGAATGTCCAGAGAAGGACTGGAAATTGCATATATGTGCCCGTGAGGTGTGTTGGAGGTGGCTGTGTGTGTGCACAAAAGAGTGGTATAACCAGCAGTGGAGAACCTAGATGGACAGATGGAGGTACTTGTGTGTGGCTGGATGTGGGAAGTTGTACCTAGGCTGATTTTCAACTCCATCATTAAAAGATTCTGATCGTGCCCAAAGGTACCAATATCTCAGATTCCTAGACCAAACTAACCTTATCTTATGAACCTAAAAACCGATGTCATCAATAGGGTCCTCAGCTGCTACCACAGCCTTCTCCCCCAGGGTCCCTGGAGCCTAGGACCATTTTCAGACCCCAATGCTTTTGCTTCCAGATTGGTGTGCCGTCAGGCACCTGGGCCTTCTGCCTCTCCACCCTCATCTTCCTGCTCCTGACAACCAACAACCCTGCCATCTATAAGCTCCCACTCAGCAAAGTCACCTACCCAGAGGCCAACCGCATCTACTACCTGACAGTGAAGAACATTGAAGAAGAGAAGTCCCCCAGCGGTGACTAGCCCATTTCTAGGCTGAAATGCTCTTTGCCTGGACCTGGTGTCTGCTCCCTGTGGTCTCAACTCTGGGTCAATCAGCAACAGCACTCACCTTCTGTGCCTCTCCTTGCACCTGTGTAACCAAACACACCTGTACCTCCCTTATCCTGATGGCTGATTTTTCTCTCTCTGCACAGATCACCATAACTATCCATGTGTGACATTAGAGAATGTTGGTATGAGCTTGCTGGAGTTAGAAGTAAGACATGTGCTTTAAATGTCATTGTCTTAAAGCAAAAACGTTTCTATTTAGTCTTTTGGGAAGATGATTACAAGATGATCTTCTTGGCATGTTTAACTAAATAATAGATGCTGTAAAATTGAACTTGCTGAGTGGTTCCTAGGCAGATACAGAAACAGAGTGTGTGGAAATTCAGGGGATACGCACAAAGAGTTGAAGGTGCCTTAGTGCGCTTAGCTAGTGGTTGATGGGCACACCCAGCTTTACAAAAAAGAGGAATTTCACACTGATAGACTGTTAAAGTCAAAAGAGACAATTAGGGAATTGGGAGTGTCTAAATAGGATATTTCAAACATTCATTGGTCAGAGGAAAGGGCAAGATGATATCTAATAGCAGGAAGCAATTAATAAAGATTAGAATCCCATATATGAGTTTTATTATGAAGGATAAAATTATGAAGGATAAGCATTTCTTAGTATAAGTCAAACCAGCAACTTTGAGTAGAGATCTCAATTGAGAAAAGTATCTGATTTCAATGTGTGAAAATCTGGGGAAATTTATTTCATTTTCCTATTTGCTTATGGGTGTTGGAAGCTTTATCAAGTCTGTGATACTTAAAACAAATGGTTAGCCTGAGTAGGACCAACAATTATCCATGAATTTCATACTTTAACTTCCCAATTACAGCCATTAGCTTACATTCAGTCTTTATATGTAGATCAGCGCTCAGCAAACTTTTTCTGGAAAGGGTCAAATAGTAAATATTTTTTATTCTGTCTATAGAAAGATTCACTTGTGTCATTATAGCATGAAACAGTCTTGGACAACATATAAATGAATGAACATGGTTGTATTCCAAGAAGACTCTATTAAACAAACAAACTAGTTTGGACCCAAAAGCTGAACTTAGCCAGTGCCTGACATGGATGTTCAAATAATAATGGTTAGGAGCTTGTGGGCAGCAGGCCCATAGGACATCACCAAATTCTTTACAACAGACAGCCACATAACCATTTATATGCTGGGTGATACTGGAAGCTTTTTAGGAAAGTGAGATTACTATGGCCAGAATCTGGAAGATCTGAGGCTCTTTGATAGACCCCAGGCACTAGGGGCTACAGTTTTAAACAGGCTCTCCTCCCACGGAAATGTCTGGGAGCCACCCCTAAGCTTCCCCCTCCTCCATTCCCTCACTCTGTTTCCACCTCTGCCAACAGGCATACCACCATGAGAGCAGGGGAGAAACCTGACCTTTAGTACAGAAGTTTCCAGCAGGAAGAGCAGGGAGGCTCCTAGAATCCCAAGCTTGGAGGGGAGTAGTGGTGAGGGCCAGAGGGTCCTGCCATTCTGAGATGCATGAACCCCTCTATACAAAGGATGGGGGCTTCAGTTCCCTGCCAGGCTTCCAGGCAGGACTAAATTACCCAAAAGGGAGGGGAGAGCCACCCCCAAAACATTCTAACAAGAGATAACAGAACCAGTTGACCTGTTCATTCTTTATGGACAATTGCACCTGGAAACCTACTTAAGCCCAGGAGACTCTCCACCCCAAGAACTGGATCTGATGGGAGCTGTGTTTAAACTGTGCTTTGTATTGGATTTCCAGGACAGGAAAACTATTTGGGGGTGTATGTATGTATGTGTGTGTGTACTTGGACAAGAGTGTCTCTTGTCCGTTTCTTTCTCACCCCACGTCTCTGTCATTAACAAGGTCCACTTCAGTTACAGGTATTGGGTTTTTTTTTCCTCCCAAGTTCCCACTTTCACCCCTGTAGAAATTAAATGTTAACTGCATTGCCAGCTGTCAAACTCAATGAAGAAACATGGATAAAAGCTAAGTGGTTCAGAAAAAGGAAAAAGTATGTTCAGCAAAAACCATAGGGCCTCAGAAATTCTATAATACACTATAATAAAGATGGCCAGATATGTAGGTAGAAATAGGAAAACACCTACTAATTTAGAATAAGAAAGAACTGTCTGGATGAAGTATTGTGAATCACTGAATTCTTGCCAAGAGATGTTGTCCAGGAGTGATGAAATGTTTTCAAAAGACATCTTTTGGGATTAAGAGGCAGAAAATCGATGGTATTTCCCCAATGTGGTCAAACAGGCTCCTCCTGGAGCAGAACAAATCTTAGTAAGCCAGCCTGGTGGGCAGATGCTTTGTGTCTCTCATGAGCATGGAGAAGGGTGGGGCAGAAATGAGAATTCCCCATCCCTCTAAGAAAAGTCAGCCCTATGCAGGTCCTGCGCATGGGCCATAAACAGATGCCCAGATGTCCTCTGAAGTAGCCCAGATAGTGATAGGGGGGTTGGAGAACTCCCTGCAGTGACCTTGTCCTGACTTCACCAGCTCCTTCCCATCCCACTGCCCCCCTGGATGAGTAGGGGCAGGAGCTTTAACAGCAGAGACACTACCACCAACATGAGGTTGCACAGGAGCGAGCCACCAGGAGAGAAGGAGAAGAGATTTGGGGTACACAACCCAGCTGCTTTGCTGCTATCATCCTAAACTCCAGGCAGCAGCTCTTGGGTGCACAAATGGTAGTTGGACGTAAATATGGCTGAACATAAATAGTCATTAAAAAGAAAAGGAATGTATGTTGGGCATCAGGGGACAGTAGAGGAGGTGCTGTCCTAACCTGTCCCAATCACACCCCCCTCCCTGTCTCCACTATTCCCTCCTCAGACCTTCTCATTTCCTCCCTCTGACCTCATCATCCCCACCCCCTTTCCAGTCTCCTCTACTCCTCACGGAAGAGCTCCACTGTCTGCCATGAAACAGTGTCGTTCTGCTGTATTTTTAAATGATCGATCTCAGCTCATCTTTCAGTCTTGTCTATGATAACTGACATAGCCAAGTTCCATAGTCAAGTTCTCTACGTCTTCTTGGTCAAAACTTCAGTTTGTTTGCTAAGAAATAATGCATCTTCTTTAGATTTAAACCAATGTTGCCATAGTGTTACTCATAATGTTCTCATACAGTAATTTCAATCCGTCCTGTATCTATGGCTCTCCTTTCTCTTTCCAGTCTGATGGAATTTTGCTCTCTCTTCCCTAATCAAGTATGTGAGGGGTTCATCCATTTTATTGTCTTTTTCAAAGAAGCAGTTTGAGATTCATTTGTCCTTTGTACAGTTTGGTTTGTTTTCTATTTTATTGATTTCTTTTTCCTGTTTTCCCATCATTTATTTAAATGTTCATTTTCTCCTAATGTTTTAAAATTGATGTGAAGTTTCTTCATTTTACATCTTTCTCCTTAACAACAAAGGCATTTTAAGGCTATTAATTTCCCCCTGAGTACAACTATAGCTGTGTGGTATAGGTTTTGGAATAAAGTATTCTACTTTAATCAGTTTTTAAATAGTTTGTAATTTTAGTGTTGATTTCTCTTTGGTCCAAAAATTATTTAATGTATTGCTTAATTTCTAGCACTTGGGATCTTTTGATATATTTTTAATTTTGTATATCTAGTTTTATTAGATTATGAGCAGAGAGGATGGCCTGTAAAATCTCTATTTTAAAATTATATGAATCTCTCTTTGTAGCCAAGTATTTGATTGATTTTGGAGATAAAAAATGCAAATTTTTGATATGAAGGAAATACATATTAAATGTATCTATTAATTGCATCATTCAGTTCTTCTATGTGCTTGCTTATTTTTTGTCTATAGGATCTTAATTCTGAAAAGAGTTTATTAAAATTCAACTATAATTGTATAGTTTCATGAAACTCTGCATTTTTATGACATTTGTCTCAAATATTTAGCAACTACCTTGTTTGGTGCCCATTGACTATAACTGTCATTGATTTTTCATAAATGTTATCTTTTACTATTACACGCTACCTATTTCTATCCTCATTCATGCTTTTAACTTTATTCCAACCTGACATTAATGTTGCCATACCTATTTTTCTTCCTAGTGTTTTCTTATCCCTTTGTTTCAACCTTCATCATTTTCTTTTAACTGTATTTCTTAAAAATAGCATTTAACAAAGTTTTTGTATTTAACCTAATCTTAGTGTTTCTATAATTTAATAGGATAATTTAATCTCTTCCTATTTAGTGTAACCATCAATATGCTGGTTTTACTTCTTCCACCTTACTTTATTTTGTACCATTTATTTGTGATTACTGCTTTTGCTTTTTCAGTTTCCTCATTTGGCAAGTTTGATCACATTATCATCTTTTTCTTTCTTTCCTTTGTTCATTTGGAAGATCTACCATTCTTTTCCATTTCACTAGTCATTCCTGCTTCTTTTCCAACACTCATGATCAAAAGTATATTTCTCTATTATTATATAAAAACAAGATGCCAAATAGTTTACCCTGACAAGATTTCCCATTTCTCCAATGCTCCTTCCCCACTCTGAGGAACTAAAGCCCATATGCCACTTTCACTGTTCTCCTCCCCTAAGCCCCCATTCTTACAATACTTTTACTTCTCCAGCATCACCCACCCCTGGATCTATGCTGAGATTATTTATCATTTTCAGTTTTTTTCCCTTACCTCTCATTTTTGCAAGAATCCTTCCTTGGCCTCTATGCCCCACATTCCCAGTAATTCTATCATTGTCCATTTGGAGTTTACTACGTATAGTGGACATGTTACTTTCTATCACTGTTTCCTCTATTCTGCACCTTCCCGTTTTGTTGTGATTCATTTGTTACTTGTTTAGAACCCTTGCTTGAATATTGAGTATTTTGTTCAAATAATATGAGAGAATATGGGTGACGTGTTCTCAGACTCTGCACATCCACAAAGTTTCTTTGCCCTGCGTGTGAATGGCATTTTGGCTGGGGGTCCCTGGGCCCCAGCCTTTCCTTCAGCTGCCTGTAACCATTGCTCTTTATTTTCTGGCTTTCAAGTGTTACAAATAAAAACTCTGATGTCAATTTCATTATTTTTTTCCTTTGTAAATAGCCTGTTCTTTCTTTCTAGAAGATTGTAAGATCTTCTCCGTATCAGTGGATTTCAGGAATTTTATTAAGTAAAGCATAAGTGTGTGTCTTGTCTCATCAGTCCTGCCTTTAAATCTGCAACACTTAAATCTTTCTTCAGCTCAGCAGCTTTTCTTCCAACATTTGTCTGATTATTGCTCTTTCTCCATCCTTTCCTTCTTCTATATCCAGAATGCCTATTATCCATGTGTTCAGTCTCCTTGACCTCTGTTCCAAGTTGCTTTACCTCCTTCGCAGTTTTTACCATTTGTATTTTTGCTTTGCTTTGAGATATTTCTTCCATTTGATCTTGCAGGTCACTGATTCAAATCCCAACAGTAGCCTTTCTTTCCTTCAATTCAAGAGATAAGTTGAATTTTTTAGCTGAAAAATTGTATGTTTCATTTCAGAAAATCTTAGGGATGGGGACCAAACTTCAATATCCATGTATGTTTATATTGTTTTGTTGTTGTGCCCAAGGCTACTTGCCAATTTTCATGAGCCAAGGCCCTAGAAATTCTGCCTTATGGTCTGACCTCATTCACTCATTCATCCAGAAGACATGTATGAGGAACTATTAATATGTTACTCAGGTCTCTACTTGACAACAAACCAGGAAAGAATCAACCCAGCTCCTGCCTTCAAGGAATTCATTTTATGGGAATTTGCCTGGCCAGGTGAATAGTCTCACCTGAGGTGATGATGAGGATAACACCACAGATTGCCTAAGTCATGTAAGTTCACAGCACCAGTTTCATTATTTTGAGTGAATTATCTGGTTAGATTGGTCTTCTGTCCAGGAAAAGTATCAAGAAAGAAGGTAAGGGTCCCAAGAAGATTTCTGTGCCTTGTCTCTTGTCCTCTATCTTGCCATTAGCTGATGCCCAAACATTCCTAGCCATCCCCTCAGGTCAGGACTTTGAACCTGTTAAAATATAAACAATCCCGGGAAGGTAACATAATAAGCATGATCAATCATTTGCATCTTAAGTTGAAGGAGTCACTTCTGAGAATAGGTTGGATGAAAAAGGAGGGGAAAGTAGGAAAAAAGTGGGTAGCATACTTTGAGAGAGTCTTTGGCAATGGAGGACATGCTAGGTGAGGTCAAGCTGGGTGAATGAGGTCTGAAGCCCCCTTATTTCATCAGAAATGATGATGACACTGTTATATTTGGCTTGGAGAAGAAAAGAAATGGCTAGGGCCATGGCTATCTGCAGTATGAGGTAATGCACATGGAAGAAGTCAGCTTACTCAGCATTACTTTAGAGGGTAGAACAAGGACAACTAAGTGGGAATGACAAGCAGGCAGACTTTGAATCAATGGATAAGGGTGCTTTTTCTCAATGCAAGTTGTCTGAGAAATAGTCCTGTGAGACCCTGAGTTCCCTGCTTTGGCAATACAAGAACAAAGGCAGTACTAGACGCCTGTTGGGAATGCTTGCTTTGGGTGGGGGTAGACCAGATGACAATGTAGCCTCTCTCTTCCAACAATAGTTTCTGTGATATTCTGGCCCTGGATTCCTATAGAGGAATGAGAAAGAAGCATCAATGAGATGACAAAAAGTTAAGAATATGGAGATCAAATGTACCAAAAGCATACCATTGTTGCCTTTACAGATTTTCCTATAGCTTGACCTTTAGCCACTTGGTTAGTTTACCAAAATGCTCAACATGGTTGCTTGTGCAGATGCAAGTTGAGGGGCCAACATCAGCCAACTATGCCTCGTCCTTGAATTACTGTCCCCTCACTCTCCCCTCTTGGGGAGTTCTTCTTTGGGTCAGTCTTCTAAGATCTGCCCATTTGGAACTCAAATCTTCATGGCCTGCATTTGTAGTTACATCAAACCCATGTGCCCCAGTTTGTTTATGCTTCCTATATGAGTCTGAGCTTTGTTTCCTTGGGTCATAAAGGTTGTGAGAGTCTGGGGATAGCTATAATCCAAACTAGTTAGGAGTTGGCAGTTTCACTGTGGGTATGCTTTCTACTCAATAAACCACAGTTTCATTTGGCAACTTGAAAGGCATTCACTTTTTATGTGAAACTGTTTTACTTGCCTGGCTTTCCCCACCTCTTGCCATTCAAAGAAGATAGAAGAATCCATAGGGAACATTTCTGTCCCTAGTGAAACCAGAATTGCAAGACTCCAAGGAGAGAGATGAGGAATTGCTATTAAAAAAAAAAAAAGTCTTTCTTACTCTCTGTAAATAGATAAGTAGGAGCCCCCAGCCCCCTCCTACAGCTGAATGGGCTGCTGGAACAGAATTAAGTAAAGGAAGTCGCTCTTTGGAGACCATCTAACTCAGCATGCATTTATTCCACCTAAACTCTGGCCTATTCCGGAAAAATCTGACCTCCCCAAGTTTAGCCCCTAGTAGTCAGTGCATCCCTCCTCCCTCTACAAGATTGGAAATGTGGAGTTGAAGGGACCCATGAGATCTGTGAAGAAAACTTCATTCTGATGTGAATTCTGATGGAGGCTTTAAGGAAATAATCTGTAGAGATAGACAGATGTCTTGGGGAGCCGTGGTATCTGAGCTGCAGCCTTCAGTAAGATCTATCTGGGACAAGATTCCATCTTGATCTTCTGTCTCACAGGACAGCACTTGATTGCCCCACCCTTAGTGTGTATGACATATACTCTACATGTCTAAGTTGCCCGTGGGCTGCATGTGAGCTTGTGAATGGCTCCTCAGAATTGCTTCCTGTCTTTTCACACCAGTTACATGTTGTGCTCACATGGCATATTTCCTGTCACTTCTAGGGTGGATGGATGCTTAGGGGTCTGGCGGGACTACACCACAAGAAGTTTAGGAACCCTCAGGAAAGACCAGAGCAAGAGGATAACAGATACGGCATGCAGGGCTGAGCCAAGGACTGCCAGCTGGGGAACAAGGAAAAGTGTCATTGGCAGACATCCATGGGCCCTGAGCTAGCAACACCAAAGTAGGGACCCTATGCAGGGGACTGATCTCTAGTCAGCTCCACACCTGTCCCTGGAATGTTGGGCCCTCCAGCTCCTCCCCCCTTTGTTTGCTTTCCTTCTTCAGAAGGATCTCCGTGATCAGGACCCCTCTTTGGCAGTTCTAAAACACCTGGCATGGTGGGAAGGGGGCCTTTGACGTCAGTGGGGAGATTGTCTACTCAGGTGTAGCTAATTTCCTCAGTGTGAGGTTTTATTTCTAAACCTGGGTAGGCCGCCTCACACCCCATCACTGACAGAGTATGTGTGTGTGTGCATGGTAGGGGTGCAGCAGGGGGAGATACACAAACCTGGGGCTGGCTGGGGAGAGGGTGGGGGGAGTGATGCTTGACCCATCATACCACAAAGCCAAACAAAACATGTTTAGATTGGGCCCCCCTCCTCAAACTCCAGCCCACCAGACCCCACAGCCCTATGGGATGTGGGAGGGCCATCTTCCCTAATATATAGACCTCAAGTCCTTTCTGGAGGCAGGAGTTAGGTCATGCCCTTCTTGCTCTGAGAGGGTCTCATGGTGAGTCCCTGGGAGCCCCATCAGGAAAAGTCAGAAGGAGGACAGGTCTGAAATTTTCCACAGAACCAGAAGGACAGCATCTATTATTGGACTATGCAGAAATTTCCATCAAGATGCTGATGGCAATACTGTTCCCCAGCCTGTGCCCTGCCTATATGGGGAATTGAGGGAGTTTATTGAGGTTGGAAGGCAAATTGGCCCCCTGAGGAGACAACACTTAGATGATTACTTTAAAGGCAAGTGCTAGAGCAAATTTCTAATGAAAGGAGTAATTTAGGAAGGACAGGGAAGCTCCTACTACACAATCCCTCGCTCTGCCCCTTTAAAGGAAACCTGCCTGATCAAAGCAGGTGGGAGAACCATGGTAGCCAGAGCCAGTCCTCCTCAGGGTGTGTAGAAGGTAATCTTTTGTCAGGAAGGCCAGTGTGAGAGCAAGCTGCAAAAAGAAGATTTGTCTTTCCTCTCCCTCCTCCTCCATGATACCCTTTCTCAACTGGAAGACGTGTGCCAGGCATAGGATCAGGGAATGTAAAGTGAACTTACAGAGGACCAGCAAGAGGATGGGCAGAAGGGATCCAGGCAGCGAAGGGCTTTGGGTTTAGGGGAAAGTCCAGCATCCGGAGTTGAGGACCAGAAACGCCACTCAGTCTGAAAGAAGCTTCTTGCCACATCCCAATGGTCTAGATTCCTCCAACCCTGTGCAGAACATCAAAAGGAGCCCAGGTAAGAGGTCTTGTGGGAGAGAACTGAACCGTAGTTCCCCCCACCCCCACCCCAGCCAACAAGACCATCCGACTTTTCAAAGGAAGAGACAAAAAAAGAAAGGCTGATCTTTTTATCCCTTTCTTCTGTTGAGCTGTGGTGTCTGGGGAAGCTAGTCCTGAGATGGGGAATGTTACTAAGTATTCTAAAGAGAGTTTAGATTCTGGAAGCTTCTAGCTGAAAGAGCTATTAAATAGGTATAGTTCAAAGCCCTTACTTTATAGATAAGGAAACCGTGGTTTGTCCAAGGACCTGTCCAGATGATAAAAGAGCCTGGAAAAAAGTCCAGGGGTCCCAACTCACACCTCATGCGGTGATGGAACCTGGTTAATTCATCCACCTTCAATCCCCTTACTGAACTAGCTGCCCACTGGGTGAGACTTCACACTATTTGTTATCCTTCCCACAATTTTGTGACCCATGGCTCTGACATCAGTGTGGTTCCTGGGGCAGCACCATGTGGACTTGAAATGTGGGAAGCTAATGCAGTAAATTTGAAAACTTCCTTCCCAGGCATCACTACCTGCTGTTTCCAGGGTGGAGGTACCTGGTCCAGGCATCTTGGCCCCTCTCCTCAGTAACCCTTCCTCAGACATGCCAATAGAACTAGACAATCTCAGTATATACAAACATCGTAACATCCCAACTGAACAACCTGTACCTCTGGTGCTCCTCTCTTACACAGCCATCTTAGATTACTGTAGACATATTATGTGCAGTACAGAGAGTGAGTGTTTCTGGAAGACAGATAGCCACCCCATAAGGAAGATTCCAGGATATTAAAGTTGTCTTATCAGAGAATGGACAACCTTGTAAGGCATGCAATCTCCTCCAAAACTGGCACCAAAGGATGTGAGCTTTTGTGACCTTGCTGAGGGAAGGCTATCCTGTGAGGCTTGAAGATGCCTGTGGCCAGGCCTCTCTGCTAGCTGTCAACACCATAGCCTTGATATACCCCTTCTCTCAAACTTGTACAGCATCGACACCTCCCTTTAAGGCTAGAGGGAGAAAATTAGTTTACTCTCAAGTGCCAACTCTAAATAATTAGTATTGGTTGTCTGAGAATTGTGTTAAAAAGGAGACTGAGGCTGTTTGGGGAACATATTGAGAGAGACTGCTATGACTAATTAGCTATGTCTGCCATAGATAATGGAGAGAAGGGAGGCAGAGGAAAGAGGATGTGGGGCAAGGGGTATGGAAACACCGCTACCAGAGAAGAAGCTGGTGTACAATGGCCCAGAACTTTCCCTGGCCTTTTATTTGGTGTCACAGATGGAATGATACACAGGTGGGTTTGTAGTGGGGGGGGGTTGGGGGGTAACTCTTGTTTTGGGAGGAGTAACAAATGGATCTTGATGGTAGGTTCCAGATGTTCCATATGTTGGACATTGTAAGTGATGTGTGGATGGCATCGATCCACCTGCAGGAGACAGTAACACCTGTTCAAAATCTGAGGAAGACAACTTGTAGAAATAATTTCGGCGTGGGCCTGCTTGATTAAAGATTGACTTTCAGTAAGATGGACTAGATCAGTTTTCATCCTCTGAGCGATGTCATACATGGTTTGGGTTTGCTCGGTTCCTCTCAAAGAAATTCCAATAGGCTTCAAAATTGTATTTGACAGCCTCCTCTACAAATTCTTTTTTAACCCTGGTATTTGAATGGTTGACATTTTCTGTACGTTCGACGTCAGTAGAGGCATAAGTACTATGGGACACTGCTCTCCAGAAAGTGTTTCTGAACAAATACTGTGGCTCATAACTGTTCTTTCCTTGTGTGAGTCAACGGGAGGAAAGCGTTGCTGGACTCTTGCCCATAAAAACACAGGATGGTGGCAATCCTCGAGGGCGGACACAGTGCCCCTGAAATGGCAGTGTGAAGCTACATGCATTGGGATGCTTAATAAAGCTTGTCAGAGCAGGAGAGCCGCGGCTCCTACATAAGGCAGGCAGGCCGAGGAGTTAGTGAGCCGCTAAGGTTTACCCACGGGCTATGAGGGACAGAGCTTTCCAACCGTGTACAGCAGAGCACACAGAGCTGGGCTGGCAGAGCAACCACTGGCCCTCCCAGGGGCCAGGTGGGCCTGGTGGGGCCAGAGTCTGAGGGCCTACGCCCTCTGGCCATAAACAACATTATCTATTTACTGCACCATGCCACACACTATTTTCTATGTGTGCCATGATGTTAGGGGCAGAAAAAGTGAGTTATGAACAAAATTGCTCTTGGGCTATAGAACACCCAGCCCCACCTCTGAACCACTTAGGGCTTTGTGGCCACCCAGAAGGAACCTGTGGAACATGCCGGTTATTGAAAACAAATCCTATCAAGCATGATCTCTGTCTTCAGTGACCTGTTTCTTTCTCTGTAATTAACCGGGTTCTTCCAGCCACTCTCACAGTATTCCTGGGTTTCTGGTTGGTTGGTCATAGATGGCCAAGCATTGTATCACCATTTATAAACTTCCCTTCTTGTATCCAAGTACCACAGAAAATAATCAGCTCTTACCCTGTAACCTGCAAAGCCCTACACAACTCAGCTATTACCTCTGTCAACCAATGAAAGACTCTCACCTTTATTTCAATATTTATCAAGCATTTAACAATTATGACGAGATGTATTATTCTTAAAAATAGTTCACACCCTGAAATATCCAATGATTGTTTGTTATACCATTCAGAGACTAAAATGTGTAGTATAATTACCCCTCATCAATTTATTCAGCAAATGCTTCTGAGTGCCTACAGAATACCAGGCTTACGGTAGGTGCTGGGGGAGCCAAGACAATCAGGTATAACCCAGGCTTCCAAGGACCTCACCATCCTGTGAAGGTGACAGACAAGAGCACATAATTGACACTTGACAAGGTAAGAGTCAGTGCAGGCAGGTATAAAATGCCAGGTGTGCACTGGGACCAGGAGCCCTTCTGACTGAAGGAGGCAGAGGGTCATGTGCCATCCGAGGGACATGGCCTCACTGAAAAGGTATCTGATATGTGAGCCCTGCAAAATATTTCCCAGAGCCTTTTGTATTATCTTCATAACAATATGAGATCGAAATGGAGGGTACCCCTCCAAAATATCTGCCATAGTTCTATAGATTGAGTTTGCAAGGGCTGCCTATGGCATCTACACATTTCTTTCTGAGAGCCATGCCTGCACTGGAGAAACTGTCAATGAAAAACGCCATGCAGAGATGAGTGAGTCTGGTTCCTGGCCAGTGTTACTGTTGTTTTCTTTGTATTCCCCACCACATCAATGGAACATTTATTTTTGGAACATTTGATAGATGTGTTCATGATATTCTTGAAATCGCCTTTATCCATTATGAAAATCCTGGGAATCTGACCCAAAAGCAGCAGTAAACTGCTATCCCCTTATCTTTAAGTATTTTCACAGCCGCGGGAAATGTGTTACTTTATCTCCAGTCTTCTTGGTGGCAATGTTCCCGCTTTTCTTTCTCAACTGTTATCCAGCACAGCCAGAGGGGCCACTGCCCTCCACCTGGAGGTGGAGCCCAGCACCCCAGTAATACCCGTGTGAGACCCAGAGCCAACCCTGTGTCGGGCCATATGTGATGCCTCCTCCCCAGCTCACCCTAAATAAAGACCAAAATAAGTTGCCAAGGGTAGGAAAGATACTTCTTGTTTTTGCTTTTTGTGGCTGGGACATCAACGCTAGGAACACATAGTAATATGGGCCCTGCCCCACTTCCCTGGGACCTAAGCAGGTAGCAGAATCTGGGAGGCTAAAAATGAAGGGCCAGGGCATGAAAGGTGAGCCAGACCTTCTGCAGCCATTTATAAAGCCTCAAATCGGGTGTCAGGAGAGCTGGGAGCAACTCCTGGCTGTACTATGATTAATGAACGGTGTGACTTTGGTAAGTTGATATTTCTGGACACAGGAGGTAGAGTGTGATCTTGAAATTCCATGCAACTCCCAGTCGAGGAGGCTAAGGTAAAATATTCCTCCGCCCAGGAGTGGCTGGGGCAGCTGACACTCCACATATAAGGAATGAGAAGCAATGGGCCAGCAGAAGGCCCCTTCTAGCCTGGCAGATGCACACTTGGGATGGGTGCTCTGGGAGAATGCCCCACTTCATCAGGTGATGTATGATACCCCCTTGTCCCTTGGTGCAAAACCTGTCTGCACGGGTGTCCTATAGCAGGCTTATGTTCCAGGTGTATCTCAAGCATGGGATTGGGGTTGGGGGTGGGGGGGCTTCTCCAGCATGGGGAGTTATGGCCCGATGCTGACCCACAGACAGGATGCTGAAATAGTTTCTTCCCCACCCTGAGCCTAGAGGAAATGGACATGGTTGCATGTTTTACCTCTGAATCTGAGAAGATAGACAAAACCCCTCTCCTTGCTCATATGTGTCCCACATACTCTCTGATTGTTGGTCTTGCTATATTCTAAGCTTTGCTAAAGCCATTTTTATCTGAGAAGTGTGATCTAGACCAGTTTTTCAACTTCAGTGTGCATGCAAGTTAGCTGGGGATCTGGTTTAAAAAAGATTCCAAGTCGGTCAGTCTGAGATGGGACCCAAGAGTCTGCATTTGATGTCCGTGAAACTGGCCCACAAACCAGACTCTGAGCCACAAAATGCAGAGGAAAGGGTTGGGGGTGAGAGTCACATGGCTCACTGTTTGTAGGTAAGCTTCAGAAACCATGCTGAGCCTCAGTTTTCCAGTCTGTGCAGATAACAATGCCCAGGTGCTATTCCAAACCACTAAATCATCTAACTCTAGAGTCTACTGGAGCTCCAAGCAGAAAGTGTTAAGGGGTGCCTAGGTGGCTTAGTTGGCTAAGCACGACTTTGGCCTGGGTCCAGATCTTGTGGTTCGTGGGTTTGAGCCCCATGTTGGGCTCTGTGCTGACAGCTCAGAGCCTAGAGCCATTTCAGATTCTGTGTCTCCCTCTATCTCTGCCCCTTCCCTGTTAGCACTCTGTCTCTCTCTCTCTCTCTCTCTCAAAAATAAGTAAACATTAAAAAAATATATTAAAGAATGTGTTAAAGCTGCATACTTGGGGACCACCAAATACTCCAGCTGATCAATGTGGGGTGGGCACAGGAACGAGCATCCCAGCAAGCCGCCAGGTTGAATTGATGGTGTCGATTCTCAGACCCAGCTTTGAGAAACCCTGTCCCAAGTGAGGAGCGTGCTGTGTTCCCCCATGTGTGGAAATCTGAAATAATAAAGTTCAGCAGAGGGTTTATTGTAGCTGGTCATAGCCCCAGACCCTTACCTCCCCATAGATTCATGCTTGTCAAACTTTAATGTACACAGAAACAGCTGGGGAATCTTGTTGAAGTAGACTCTGATTCTGACAGTCCAGTGGAACCTGAGATTCTGCATTTATAACATGCTCCCAGATGAGTTTGATGATGCTGATCCCAGGACCACATTTTGAGTAAGAAGAACCCACATTAGTGATTCTCAACCCAAGCTACTCACTGGAGCTATCTTTTAAATAAAATGGGCATTTAAAAACTTTAATTTTTTAAAATTGGTCCGGGATAGGGTTCCTGCATCTTTTAAAGCAGCTGGTGGTTCCAAAGGGCCGCCAAGATTGAGGAGCTCCCCCACACGCCCCCTGCCACAGATGTCTGACAAGGCACTGGCTGAAGGGCAGAAACGGCAGCCAGCTCAGGTCCACCATCCACGCTGGCCAAGGCCCAGTTAAGTAGCTCTTAGGGTAGTTTCTTGCTGGAGTAATAAGGCAGACTGGCTCTTGACATGTCTATGGTCTGTGATATGGTTTCTGCGGGGAAAGGAAGTGGATGTTTTAGCGGGAGGAAGGGAGGAAGATGCTGCTTGCATCCAATGCACCAATGTGATTACTACTGAAGCTCCAGAGCACACCGCGCCTGCCTTTCCAGCTTCTGCACGTGACTTTCCCTGCGCTGCCTGCCTGGCTCTTACAGGGTACAGGCCAGGGCAGACACCGACCTGTCTTATTTTGCCCCTGGCCAGGTGCTGGTGGGGAGCAGCCAGCCACAACCAGCCCAAGGGCCGATGAGGGCTCAGAAGCCGTGCCCCCCAAGCCCAGGAGCGTGTTCCACATCGAGTGGTCATCCATTCGGAGAAGGAGCAAAGGTGTGCACTGCCTCCTCCTTGCTTTCGGGTCCTCAATTTACTCATCTCTAGAATGCGGACCATGGCAGTACCTAGTTCATAGGGTAGTAGGGAGAGACATGAGGACCAGGCTCATTCTTATCACACCCACCCTCTGACCACAGCCATGACCCCAGTGTCTATACACTCCCAGGAACAGGGGGATGCTGGAACTGGGACAGGCAGCCGACTCTATAGGCCTTGACTACGTATTGGAATCACCTGCATGCCATCCCTGGAGACACCAATCTAATTTGTCTGGGGATTAGCCAGGGTGGGCATAAGGATCTCTCAAATCTCCCCATGAGATTCTAATTTCTGCCAAGCCACAAACTACTGATGACCTACAAGACTAGAGGTGAAAACTTTTTATCTACAGCAGCGGTCAAGATATCAAGGCCAAGGAAACAGATGGAGAGCCACAGAGGGAAGGGGGCTCCCAAAGGCCAAGAGGGGAAGGTCCAGAGGGCAGCCAAAAATGAGCAGGTGGGGAAGCCAGGGAGGAGTCAGGGGAAGCGGGGGTACAAGGAGTCCTCCCCAATCAGACTCAAAGGCAGCCACGTGAAGAGCCAAGGCAGAGGGCCAATCTAATTTTGCCCCTTAAATCTCAGGGAGGGGAACCAACTTGCCCAGAGTCACACAGCTGGCAAGGAACAAAGTGGGGGAGGACCTGTTAGTGTCCTTTTTACAAACCGCGTGCTTCCCAGAAGATGCATTAGTGATATTCTTGCATTTTCACTTGAGCATCTAGGCCTCGTTGTTTCTCACCAAAAGTGGCCATCCCAGAGACACAGGCCTGGGGTGGTGTGGGAAAACATCACACAAGATGGAGAGGGCATTGAGCTAGCTCAAGGACCCTGTAGCCCGGGGGGTTGTATTCGACAGGTGCCACTAGCATGTCAAGGAAGACTGTGTGGCTTTCTTCTAACAATCCCCCTCCAAACATCCACTATCACTGTGGTTGGGGGCCGAGGGGGTGGGGAGCACTAGCAGAGCGTGCAAAGGAAACTGAGATACAGGTTTCGTGGGAATTGCTCAATGGAAGACAGAGGGGGGGCTTCACACACAAGCAGCAGGTCCATCAGGGTGCCGTGCACCTGGCCTCAACGTCTAGAGGAGTTTTCTTTGCTCCTACCCTTTCTTTCAAAGATTCCAAAATTAGTTTATTTCTTCTGCATAGTGTAACTTCCCAAAAACACTGTTATTTGCAGCCCCTGCCCTTTCAAAAGTGGGCACATGGTGCCATTGATGCATCCTTCTAGTGCTTAGGTTCCCTGAAAGCTCATGAATTCAGTGGGAATGGTCCCTTCAGTCTGAAAATACAGGGTGTTCAGAGCCCAGCCTGCCATCCTCACACTTGACCACAAGAGGGAACCAAAGCACCAAGGCCGAAACACTCAAGTCTCGAACTCCCTGAATTCCTGTATAAAGTGTCCTGCTTACATGGGGATGTACATTTTTTACCCAAAGTGAGAACCCAAATGGGTTCTTGACCAGTAAAATGAAAGGGGGTCTTCCAGCTGCAAGATACAACAGTTCTGGGCTTCCTCAAGTGGAATAGGAAAACTGTAAGAATTTGCTGCTAATACGCCAGGGTAGAGGTGTCCTAATTGATGATGTGCTTTCTTTCAACTCCAGTGTTTGGAAAAGGCGAACACCAGGAGAGGCAAACCAAAGACCCTTTTCCCTATCAGTACCGGAAGCCCACGGTTGAATTGCTGGTGAGTAAAGAGTGGCCTGAATCGGGCAGGGTCCTACAGACACAGAACCTGCAGCAGATTAGGGAGAGAGGGCCAGAAAAGATGTCTCTTGAATTCATATTTCCAGAAACATAATTACCTGGGATAAAAATGTCTATTTTTCATAGTCTACTTTATAAAATTTCATATCCCTTTTATTTGAATTAGTTATCTGTCTTCTCTAAATCTGGCATTCAAGCATTTGGGAAACAAGCTGGTACCAATTTTCAAAAACAGAATCTTTATATGTTTAATTTTATGGACAGTTAAATTTTAAACACTAGACATGTTGGGGGGTGTGGAATAAGGAATAAGTTCACCTGGAAAGATTGTGGTATAGTAGAAGTAATGGTTTAAATAAAGAGTCTAAAGATCTGTGATTAAATATCAATTCTGCTGTTTGACCTTGACCTTTGCCAATGAGAACCTTCCATCCATGCCCTAGCCCTCACCCATAGAATGAGGATAAATACAGTATCCTGTTGTACTGCAAGGTTGTTGGCCATATTAAGTGAGGTAACATGTCAAACAAGACAAAAGGTGTTCTAGTCTACAGAAACACGGAGATGATTAAATAGCAATTTGTCTAAATAGCAAATGAAAATATTAGCTTGGCCCCAGAGCCAGCACAAGTGTCGCTTCTCGGGGTGAGAAACACAGGATGTGGGAATGTCTTTCTGTCTCTTGTCCCCGGGCAGGATCTAGACACCATGGAGGAGAACACTGAGATAAAGGTGGAAACGAATGTTTCCAAGACTTCCTGGATTCAGAGTCACATGGCTGCCAGTGGGAAGAGGGTCAGCAGAGCCCTCAGCTACATCACAGGGGAGATGAAGGAGTGTGGTGAGGGTCTTAAAGGTAAAGGTCCTGAGAGCAAATCCCTTGACCCTACCCCTAAAGTGTCACTTCCAGCCGTCCCCAGAAGGCACAGTGCCTTCTTGATAGACTAGACTGAGTGCCATTTCGGTCTTTTAGAAGGGACAGGGATTTTGCTGGTAGGACACAAATGCAGTCTCTTGGGGTAGAAATACAATACATGTCAGTGTGTGAGCTCTCATTTCTGAATGTTAGCAGTTGTGCTCAACAAATATCCCATCAGGGGATGGGCATTTAGGCATGGGATTCTAGAGTCAGCGTTCTAAAAAAAGTGCCCACCCTACAGATGACTCTTGGAAGAATTATATCTACTATTCAGATAAGTTCTTTCTAGGAATCTTCCCAGGGCTCAGGCCATGGGTTTGACACCCTCTAGGCAGCAAAAGAATTATCTTTTTGGATATGTCTTCTTGAAAATTCATGCCCCTATCACAGAGACATAGATAGCTCAGGGTACCTTATCCCCACTGTTTGAAAAACAACCTAAAGACCACAGCCAGCTGGTGATGGGTCTGAAGAGTTTTCTGGGCAGTCAAACACCCTCTTGGGTTCTTGGTTTCTGGGGCAGGTGACAGCAGAGGCTGGTGCCCTGTGAACCCACATTGGACATGGAGCTTCCCCGATCCTCCATCCGCCCACTGAAGTCTCCCCGAGGGCCAGCACACCTGAGCATTGACTGACTCCCTGCCCTGGTTCATTTTAGACAAATCCCCAGTGTTCCAGTTCCTTGACTGGGTCCTCCGGGGTACGTCACAGGTGATGTTTGTGAACAACCCCCTCAGTGGCATCCTCATCGTCCTTGGCCTCTTCGTCCAGAACCCCTGGTGGGCCATCTCCGGCTGCTTGGGAACTGTTGTGTCCACTTTGACAGCTCTCATCCTGAGCCAGGACAGGTAAGTTCCAGGAGACCCAGGGTCCAAGCATGAAGCCAGAGGTCGCTTCCCGTGGGGACCATTTCCCATCTCTTCACTGCTGGCCTCCAAGCTCAGAAACTCCTCAGATTAAGGACACTAATAACTGGGGCGCCTGGGTGGCGCAGTCGGTTAAGCGTCCGACTTCAGCCAGGTCACGATCTCGCGGTCCGTGAGTTCGAGCCCCGCGTCAGGCTCTGGGCTGATGGCTCAGAGCCTGGAGACTGTTTCCGATTCTGTGTCTCCCTCTCTCTCTGCCCCTCCCCTGTTCATGCTCTGTCTCTGTCCCAAAAATAAATAAAAAACGTTGAAAAAAAATTAAAAAAAAAAAGGACACTAATAACTAAACACAACCATTCCCTGATTATTTGGTAACATCTACACACTGTCCAGGGAAATGCAAAGGGTTGATGTCTTCCCTTCCCATTCCCAGAGGATCCATCTGCTTGAAGGTGTATATGCAGTCAGGCCCCAGCTGAGGAAAATGTGAGTCAGAAGGAAAACCAAGAAGGCAGTGGCCCTCCTTAGCCCTGGGGAGTCCCCCCTTCACCAGCCCTCCTCCATCCCCGCAGGTCCGCCATCGCAGCAGGACTTCACGGCTACAACGGGGTGCTGGTGGGGCTGCTGATGGCTGTGTTCTCAGACAAGGGCAACTACTACTGGTGGCTTCTGTTCCCTGTCATCGTTATGTCCATGTCTTGGTAAGTTTGCTCCTAAGGCTGTGGGTGCAGTCAAGGGCTGCCAACCTTTTCATCCCAGCTCCCCAGCTGTCTGTCTAAACTCAATTTTAAGGTGGCATTGACTTAGCTTTCACAGAAACATCCACTGGAGATAACTGCTAATGTCATACAGCAACAGCACTGTGCCAGGTGATCTGCGGACACTCTCATTACCTACAATTCTTGACTCTTTTTTTTCTTTTAATTTATTTTTGAGAGAGAGAGAATGAGCTGGGGAGGAGCAGAGAGAGAGGGAGAGAAAGAGAATCCCAAGCAGGCCCCGTGATGTCAGCACAGAGCCTGATGTGGGGCTCGAACTCACAAACTGTGAGATCATGACCTGAGCCAAAACTAAGAGTCAGATGCTTAACTGACTTAGCCGCCCAGGAGCCCTTCTTTACTCTTTTTTTTAAGACTTAACAGGGTTTCTGGTCCTACTCAACCAGAGGACAGAGAAATGTGAAGAGCCACCCTACAGCTTCCTGTCAGTTTCTGGAAACCTTCTCATTCCTCCTGCCCCCTCCCTGCCACACCCAGCTTTTTCCTGTCCTTAGAACCCCCTGGACCAGACTGAGACAACCTCCCAGGGTGGGCTAAAGGACCAGCCACTGGACAGAGCCCTCAGAGGATCAGGGCTTAGCTCCCCTTCCCTCCAGAAATCATAGGACACTCTGGATGGAGGCTTGGTACTCTTAGCTGCTCAACAAACATTTGTTGAATGAATGGATGAATGGACGAATGAATGAGATCCCCCTCCCTGGTCACTCCCCCAGCTTGTCCTCTCTCCTCATGCCTGAGCCTGGAGCTATATGACTTATCAAGGAAGTTCTGTGACCCCTTGCCTTAGGTCTTCCCGCTTTCTGAAATGGAGCCTGGGCATCTGCCCCATCACCGTGCCAGGCCCACGGAGGGGGCCAGAGGGAGACCTGCTCAGGGCCAGTCGGGCTCAGAGAACATACCCAGCGGGCTGCTTTTCCTCAGGAAAGTCCAGGGACCCCTCTACTCCTGCTCAGTCTAGTGTCAGGGCCGGAGCTTCTTGAACAGTCTCTTGTGTTTCTGTTGCAGCCCCATCCTCTCCAGTGCCCTGGGCACCATCTTCAGCAAGTGGGACCTCCCCGTCTTCACGCTGCCCTTCAACATCGCTGTGACCCTGTACCTGGCAGCCACCGGCCACTACAACCTCTTCTTCCCCACGATGCTGCTGCAGCCTCCATCCTCCGTGCCCAACATCACCTGGTCAGAGGTCCAAGTGCCCTTGGTAGGTAACACGGAAGCCAAGAAGGCAGCGTCTGTCCAAATGCAATGTTACAGTGGCATTTACTGACTCTGCACATCAGAAGCATCCACAAGTGATGACTATTAACAATCATACCATACAAGGCAGTGGACGTGCAGTATCTCATTAGCCACCATCCTTTTCCTTTCTCTTTCCAGAAGCTAACAAGACTGTTTCTGGTGCCACACTGTCATAGCACAGAGGAAAAAACTGAGGCCTGAGGTCACACAGCTAACTAGTGAAGAGCAAAGTCAAGATTAGCACTCTAGGGGCACCTGGGTGGTTCAGTCGGTTGTGTGTCCGGCTTCGGCTCAGGTCATGATCTCACGGTTTGTGAGTTCGAGTCCCACGTCAGGCTCTATGCTGACAGCTCAGAGCCTGGAGCCTGCTTCGGATTCTGTGTCTTCCTCTCTCTCTGCTCCTCCCCCGCTTGTTCTCTCTCTCTCTCTCTCTCTCAAAAATAAATAAACATTAAGAAATTTTTTTTAAAGATTAGCGCTCTGGCCTCCTGACTGTTAGAACTGGTTTCTTTCCTTTTTCCTTTTGGAAAAAGTCTTTTTGATGCTTTCTTCCAGTTTTCATTCAACTTACATTGTCTATTTCCTTCCATCAATCTCACTGAACCATTAAAAGTCATACATGTCACACAGCCACCTGTGGGCTAAAGTCTCTGTTCCAACCTCCAGAGTTGATTCCATTGGCTTTCCAAGGTCACACCATAAAGTGCAGGTGTTCCTTCATTAAGAAACATCTATATATCAGAACTTTTAATGTTTTTTACAAGTATTTTGTATATAATGCTGGCCTCTGGAAGTCTTCCAAGATAATTAAGAAGACATTTTGTCTGAAGTTCTCCTGCATTGCATTACACTAAACTACCCCATGGCCTGGGCCCACTCTACAACTTTGTTATTGGCAATTCATCATCTAACCACAAAGCCACTTGGGCTTGTTGAGGACCTTTCAGAAATAATGATGCCTAGTTTCATTTAGCATTTCATAGTACACAACAGCACAGCATGGTAGAAACGACTGTGCATTTACACTAAGGCACATTATTTAGTAAAAGAAATATTTGTGTTAGTGTTAGCTTCATCCTTGTTGATTCGTGTGTGTGTGTAAGAGGACCCTCATGAGCCAGAGGTGAGAAAAGGTTGGCAATTCACTCCGTAGGCTTCCTTTTCATGGTATTTACCCCAGCAACATCTCTTGAAGGCATAATCACTCTAAACCGTTGGCTCTGAGGAGCTGATGTTAGGAAAGGTAAGGTTAAGACATTTTGCATTCTCTGTGCCACATGTTCAATGGAAAGATATCTAGGCATTTTGTAGAATTGAAAAACAGCTAGGGAATCCCGTACAACTATTTTAGAACCCCCAAGTTCCAAGAAAGAAAAGTTCAATTTTTGGTGGTTGCCATTTTAAGAAGTAACTTTCTAGGGGCGCCTGGGTGGCTCAGTCGGTTAAGCATCTGACTTCAGCTCAGCTCATGATCTCACAGTTTGTGAGTTCGAGCCTCGTGTCAGGCAATGTGCTGACAGCTCAGAGCCTGAAGCCTGCTTTGGATTCCGTGTCTCCCTCTCTCTCTGCCCCTCCCCCACTCAAGCTCTGTCTCTGTCTCTCTAAAAAATAAACATTAAAAATTTTTTTAACTTTTTGTAGAAGTAACTTTCTAGCCAATTAAATGGATTATAATAAGGACTAATATGTTTCGTCTTTTTAACCATTCATGAGAGCCTTGAGTGTTGGGGAAACAAGTAAATGTCAGAGAGAGGGTCTAAAACTCCCAACAATGTTGAAACCCCATGAGTTCCTCAGCTCCTTGGCCACTGCAGGGCCCCCTGGAGGGTGTCACCAGCTCAGGACTAAACTGCCCAGCACCACTGCCTCTGTATGAAGCTCTCCCACCTGCCCACCCTGACCCACGTGGTAATGCCAGAGCCCCCACCCTGTTCTCTGTTCCTGGAGTAACAGAAGACGGAGTCTGGAGGGTTAGCCCACTAGGCCAATCCACAGCCCCTTAGTGTCCTTCTATCTCCACACACCCCCAGAGGGCATGGGCTGAGAGAAGAGCTGCCCCCTCCTAATATACGTACACCCTCGCCCCAGGACTCTGTTTCTCCTCAGCTCACTGTCTGAGGGGTAAGACATACCCCAGTGTCCCCTGCGTGGCCCAGAGCCCCCTCCCTTATGCACTTTCCTAGCTCAAGGGCCTTTGGCCAACCTTCCAAACCATAGGACCCCAATCCCAGTTGCTGGGGAAGGCTGCATGCCCAGGATCCTTTTCTGGAACTGCATAACACATGTGCAAGTGCCCACAAGGCAGTGGACCCTGGCCTCATCAAACCCTTCACGTTTGCAGACAGGCCCCGCACCCCCTGAGATACACGGAGGCCTGATGCAAGCAGGGACTCATCTATCAGTCACCGTTTACTTGGCTTCTCAATCAAAAACGCGCATACCATGATACTGCCTTCTCAGGGATTCTTCTCTGGATACGAGTCCAGGTGTTCACCCAGACTGAGCTAATGTGACCACAGCCCAGACACCTTATTCTTGGAAACACAAAGGACTACTCTTTCACATAATATTCAGCCTTTTGGTCATAATTTTAGGGTTTTTTTTAGTGTTACAGGAGAGCTTTTAAACCCCAACTTTGATCAGACATCTCCTGCTTTACTGATGAATAATATCCTCATTTGAAAAGTTTTTAGTGTCTCTTCACCGGGGGTTGAGTGCCTTACACTCATGTTTCTAAAGAAAGGCAACTTAACACCCTAAAATCCTATTGTTCTAAGAACGCGAGATTAAAACAATAAGGCTTGTGTTCCTTTTAGAGTTAACCTATTTGGATAAAAATGTCTCAGAAACCTGTTGCGAACTGTTGGTGTACAAGGCTTGGCACGAATCTTTTCCAGCCGAGGTTCAAGTTGTCTCTTCTGCCTCCTTAACTGCATGTGACCCTTTGCACCTGCAGCTCTTGAGAGCCATCCCTGTTGGAGTCGGCCAGGTGTATGGCTGTGACAACCCCTGGACTGGAGGCATTTTCCTCATAGCTCTGTTCATATCTTCACCTCTCATTTGCCTACACGCTGCGATCGGCTCCACCATGGGGATGTTGGCAGGTTAGTGTCATCACTTCTGATGTGTTAATGGGCCATACGGATGTTAGTGTCTCGAGTCAGCTCCGAAGAAAATGGTGACAGGTGTTTTCGATACCCACCTCCCCACCCCCGCTTATTCCTACAAACTTTCCCCGCTTCCATTGTACCCTGGTTCCCTACTTTGGGTGCCAGTGCCCTCATGCGTTTCTGAGCAAAAGCTGCCTTCCCGAAAGGATTTGGTGTTAGTCAGTTACACCTTAGTATAAATTTAAAGTTTGGAGAGGTTAATTCCAGTCATGTTTGTATTTTAAGTCTTGTCTCAAGGGATGATATTCCACTAGAGAACACGGAGATATCAGTGAACGAGCGCCTGGGTGGCTCAATCGGTTAGCGTCCAACTCTTGATTTGGCTAAGGTCATGATCCCAGGGTCGTGGGATGGAGCCCCACGTTTGGCTCCATGCTCAGCATGGATTAAGATTCTCTCTCTCTCTCTCTCTCTCTCCCCACCTCCCGCACCACTCGTGTGCTTTCTCTCTCTCTCTCTTAAAAAAATATCAGTGAAGAAGGAAAAGTCCTCTTTCTTGGCAGGGAAAGGAACTTCTCTTCTTTAAAAGGCTGCAGAGTCTATACTCAAAAGGCTCTCTTCTACCTATAACGGCATCACCACTAATACTCATGTGACTCTATGGCCATTTGTTTCCTTTAGATATTTTTTCACTGAATAAAATCAGAAGTTCTTTTTTATAAATGCCTAAGAGGATGATTGGTCTGGGCTTTGGGAACTATGGTGGTTTTCAGGAGGGGCAGGTGAGCCCCACGAGACCCACCCCCCCTCCCCCCCGAACTCAACACTGATGCCTGCCTTCTCTCGCAGCCCTCACTATTGCAACACCCTTGGACTCCATCTACTTCGGCCTGTGTGGTTTCAACAGCACGCTGGCCTGCATTGCCATCGGAGGCATGTTCTACGTCATCACCTGGCAGACCCACTTCCTGGCCATCGCCTGTGGTAGGGACCACCACTAGCTCCCTTTGCACCTTCGGCACCACCTGTGACTGTCCCTGCGGGGACAACCACCCTGAAGATTCTGTGGATCCCCCAAAGATAAACGGGAGGATCGTTTGCTTCACAAAAGCGTTTGTATCTAAAACGGTTTTGAGTGGTTGTTCAACGATTCACACAGTAAAAACTGTTTTCGTGGAACACAGAGTGTTCAGCCCCACGAAGACAGAACTTTTAGACGGTGGCTGTTGGGTTGTTGTTCATGGGTTGTCTCTGTGATGGCTACTCTCCTGACTGGTGATTGGAGCCAACCGACAGAGCAACCCTTACTCAAATTAATCTTTATGTATAGAATTGGGTGATTTACCTCAGATACGGAGATTAACTTTAAGCACCCAAATACTCATCATTAGGACCTTCCAATAATGCTTACGCCAGAGGAATGCTGAAGGATGTGGTCACATGGCTACCAGCCAGGTGCTCGGTGACTCTCTAATAAAGATTTGCTGTTGTTAATATCCTGAGGACAATTGAGATGCTTTCGGTTGAGAAATTGAGAGTTCGGAAGCAAAGCCCAATTACACTTGCTCGTTTTCACAGAGCGTCACCTCTTACCGGCACGTGGCTCTTCCCAGTGGCCAGCCTGGCCGCACCCTCTGCAGGCAGAGCCGGGAAGACAAGGCAGTGGGCATATTTGGTCTTCCTCAAGCTTAGAGAATGCTGTTCCTCCCTGGAAACCCGTATTACATTAATAACTCGCGGTGAAATATTCCAGCGGGGAGCTCTGGGATCCACTTGCCTTGGCTGTATAGTAAAATTTTCATGTACGGTTTATGCTGCTAAATGTTCCTTTGCTAGAATGCAAGGTGGTGGGACCCAAGAGAACCATAATCACTCCATTCTGGCCCTTTTTTAACAAAGTTCATCTGCTGTCTTAGCTGTACCGGCATTTGCCTGGAATTTAACACATTTCAGGGCTGTCAACTAATAGAAACATAATTCAAGTTTTATTTTAATCTGAGAGATAGCATTTGTGGCATAAAATGTCTGGGGAGATAATATGTAGACTAAGCTTGAGGCACCGTCAGTCACTGGACTGTTTCTTGGTTCTTTTCCCAGCACTGTTTGCGGCCTACCTGGGTGCTGCGCTGGCTAACGTGCTGTCCGTGGTGAGTCAGTGTCGGCTAAGAACGTGCCACAACGCCCTTCCCCCGTTCTTTCAGCTCCCCACAGCCAATGCAAGCCTGTCCTCCGGGGACCCTTCCCCAACTCATCCTTCTCATCTCAAATCACACTGCTTGCCTCAGCACCTGCTAGACAGAAGGAGCTGGGTCTCTAAAGGTTCAATGTCAACCACCGGTCAAACAGACCCCATTGTCAGGGGGTCAGTGGAGCTTGTTATAGAAGGACAATTTGAAGAACGCTATCTTGTAACTCGAATTCTTTCAGCTGCATCATCTCCTAGAACTAGTTTTAAATCTTTATTATTTAATTATTTTGTATGTTTATAGATCAACTGCCCAACTAACTTATGGGCCAGGGTACATCTCCATTCATCCGTTGGCAACTAGGAGTTGAGGGGGTCATGAGGGAAGTCTCCAGGGAAGACAGGGAACCAAGCCCCAGCAATACCTGAGAGAAGCCAGCGCTGGTGGCTATGTGCACATGCACCAGTCCAAGAATCCCTTCCTTGTCTGAGCCCTAGTGTGAGGTGGTGTCTGAGACAGGAGAAGCCGCATGGCCAGCCCCAGCCCCCACGTACACTGGGTAGGGCCCCCGGTCTGGCACAGAGTGTTCAGGGCTCAGCCCGCAGTTGATGCCTCCCCCTTTTATATAAGGGTTCAAGGGCACATTTGATAAAAGCAACCAGGAAAAGCCCCAGTGGTCCTGAAGGTAGGGATGACGGTGGGCATTTTACTCACACCTGCACAAATCCCCTCCTCACCCTTAGGGAAATTGGGCAGGTTGAACTTAGCATAGGAAGGAATTTTCTAGGCAATAGAACCCGCCTTCCCTGATACCATCCTATGTCTCCCAGTGGGCCAGATCCTCCTCTGGGCTCTGGTGAATCTTGTACACGCCTCTGCTATGACACTTGACGTACAGTATGGTGACGAGCCTTATACATATTCTTCCTTTTCCAACTTCAGCCCATGTGCTCCTTCAGAACAGGGGCCCGGCTGTATTCTAGTCTTTATCCATAGTACCTATTACAATACCCAGCCCATAATAGGTGCTCAAGAAATGATGAATGAATAAAACCCTAAGATAGCAAGCCTGCACCATGGGGAATCTAAGAGCTGGGGCTGACTGGTCAGCCATCAGAAGAATGGGCGGGTAACTAGAGCATGGAGTATGGTCTCTGCGGCTCCTTTGCACTCCAGGCTTTCCCACCATTCTTGTACCCATCCTTCCACCTGACTGTCCAGCCAGTGAATATGTGTCACGTGCCTTCCCTGGGCAAGGTACTGGAAGGGATGCAAATAGGAGGCTTTTGTTTCTGATCACAGGCATTTAGAGGATGACTGGCCCTTTTCCTCTGCGGGCAGAGAAGTTAGAGGCAATACCATTCCATTTAAACCTTTTTTGAACTCGAGTTTACTTTCTGTGTGCCTACTATGTTTAGGACACTATGCTGAACACTCTCAGGGAGATAAAAAAGGGCAGGCTATTTACTCCCGTGGAAGGAATGTCCAATCTGCTTGAAGAACAATATAAAAAATGTCAAGTGACATTTACGAGCCCCTTCACACCCTCCACAGACAGAGCACTTGGGAGCTGCACTCCTCTGCTTCCTCACTGGCACTCATACACGCAGCCCTGTCTTCCACGTGCCCCCCCCCCCCCCGCCACTTGACAATCATGACCGCTGTTTACTGAGTGCTGAGGGCTGTTTACTGAGTCCTTAATATGCACTAGGCATTAACTGTCTGAGTGGACACTGTTATCCCTACTTTACTATTGAGGAAATAGGTTTCAGACGGATGAAATAACTTTAACAAGGTGGTTGGAGCTGAGATGTGGGTCTGAGATGTGAACTCCAGACCTACTTCCTTTCCCACTGTGGGGTTCCAGAGGGTTCTTCCCAAAACACACTGTGTAGTGTGAGCAGGACTTTGGAGAGACTTGTTGGGTGGAATTCATTACTCGTGGGAATTTTTACGGCCATGGCTCTGGCTGCTGTAGTCCTTCTCCAAGTTTCACCCAGCAGTGCCATCTTTGAGCAGCACATTACTGGCATTGTTATCCCCGTGGTGTTTTCTGAGGTCTTTACTGCTTATAAGGAAATGAGGTTGGGTGTGGGGGAACATGATTTGGTCAGCCTTATAGTTGAGTCTGCAGACTTCTTATCACCAAGCTCTCCACTCAAGTGATCTCAAGGAAGAGTGAGAGGTGTATTAAAAAGACGCAGGGCATGGGCCGCCTGGGTGGCTCCGTCGGGTAAGTGTCCAACTTTGGCTCAGGTCATGATCTCACAGTTTGGTTCACGAGTTCGAGCCCCACATTGGGCTCTCTGCTGTAGCACAGAGCCCACCCTGGATCATCCTCCGTCTCCCACTCTCTCTCTCTCTGCCCCTCACTGGTCTGTCTCTGCCCCTTGCCACTCTCTCTCTCTCTGCCCCTCACTGCTCTCTCTCTCTCTCTCTCTCAAAAATAAATAAACATTTTGTTTTGAAAAGCCTCAGGGCATCTTAAGGAAGAAAAAATAGGTCAACACCATGAGAAGGAGAGCTGGGAATGGAGGAGCCCTTGAGAATAGAGGCAGCTACCCTCCACCTCCAACCCCTAGGACTAGGACATTACATCTCTGCCTCTCTCCAGATGTCTGTTCTATCTCCCTGTGTCTGTGGTGGGTTTCTTCTGCTGCACACAGCCCCCTAGCGGCCACCCAGCACTGGTTGGCTCTCCAGTCCTTTCAGACCAAGAGCCCAGTCTCTCTTAGTTCAAATTCTCAAAAGAGGGATTCAACTCCCAGGCCATCTGCCTGTGGAAGTCGCATTGCTGGAGTCCAATCAGCTGTGACCAAAGAGATAAAGATCGTGAGCTACAAAATGGCTGCCAATGCCACTCCTTCAACAGGGGCTATGGGAGAGGCAGGCAATGGTCAGTTCCTAGAGTTGAAGGTATAACCTAGCCAGACAGCCCAAGGCAAAACATGACTTCTACATAAAGCCATATTGTAATAGGGTTCCAATGGCTGCATTTTGGAGAATGTGCATCCACCTGTTACAATTCAGGCAGACAGCACTGACATGCTTTTATTTATATTGGTCAAGAAGTATTATTCCTCTCAATACCCACAAAGCATCCCGTCCTCTACCCAGGGCTGTAGGGGAGTGTTAAGGGCTGATGAAACAGGCCAAAGCATCTGATATAATCAAGGCTTCTCTTGTGTGTCTCTTTTCTGCCCCTGCCCAGTTTGGACTGCCACCATGCACCTGGCCCTTTTGCCTCTCAGCACTCACCTTCCTGCTCCTGACGACCAACAACCCTGCCATCTACAAGCTTCCACTCAGCAAAGTTACCTACCCAGAGGCCAATCGCATCTACTACCTATCCCAGGAGAAAAACAGAAGAGCATCAACCATAACAAAGTACCAGGCCTATGATGTCTCCTAGGCTGCCTTTTCCAAAACATGTCACTGTGTACTCAGCCTTCATCAGGTCATCCAGGTCCCCAGGCTGAAGGCCACGCAAACTCCCTTTCTGCCTGTTCTGTGATTCTTTCCCCAAGCAAGCCGACACCCTAGTTTTTCCCCACATAGGGAAATACGTGTCTAGTCACCATTTAGGAACCTCTCTGTTCTAAGATGTACAACATTTATCAAAGATACCGTTAGTTTAGACTTCATACTCACAAATCATACCGTAAGAGCTCCCTTTGAAGGGAATTTGCCCTCTTCTGCAAAATAAGCCACATCCCTAAAGAGAACTCATCAAGAAGGGGACAGGGATTGGTGGCATGAGCCTCCAACTCAGTCATTTTATGGAGCCATGCACAGTTCCAGGAAACATGCATCAGCCTGGAAGGCGATAGGATGGTTTGGCCCTAGCTCTGCCCCTAGGGAGCCCCTGCCATCTGGAGTGAACGCATCCCTGCTCTCAGCCTTGAATTCTTACTGGTTTCATGACAGGGAGGGATTCAGTCCCTCCCACCTCGGAAGTGTTGATTCTTCTCTCTCTCCCGTAAACTGATGAAATCAGTGTGACCATCAAGTAATTACTCTGAGTCAAGTAATAGATGGAGGGCTTACCTGGAGAAGAGGCAGGAAATTTTTAATGTTCTGAGATTTGTCCTTGAGTTACGAGAAGATGTTCTCCAGATTTGGGGTTAGGAACTTACCAATGTGCCTTCCTTTACATAACAGAAATATTTCTGGAAATGTCATAAGATGAAAACTGATCTTTTTCAACATTCAAATCATGTTTTAAACAAATGTTTTTTCTTTAGTAGTATTCATAAACATGCTGTCATTAAACGGTTAAGTTCACAAGATGGTATCGGGATTTTCTTAAAATGGGGCGCACTTACGCTGTTCACACATTGCCCATCTGAGGGGTTTTCCATGGTCAAGCATGTGTCTGACAAGGGATGGGATGGGTAACAAATCATCAAAAGAGGGTTTGATTTGCATACAAAGGGAATTATACAGAAATGACTGTGGTCTTCTATTTCTGTTTGAGTAGAAATACAGGCTGTTAGCAACACATCTCACCTTCAGGTGAATGGTGTTTTAGTCTTGCACCCCTAAATTACAAACCCAGCCCCTCTTGCATGGTCAGTAACTCTTGTTATTTAATCTTTTTACGGCATTGAGCCCCTAACCCCCAGGAGCCCTTTGTGAGAAGGCACGTGGCTCAGCACCCCCCACCCCTCCCCTGCAGGACAGGGATAAATCATCAGAGCACTTGGTAGGACACCCTTCCCCCATCTTACACATTCTAGTTTAGCATGATGGGGTGAGGATACAAGATGGGGGGAAGAAGGCAAGGGGGAGGGGACAGATCCTCTATAAACGCAGCTTTAAGAAAGACTTACATTTGGCCAAAATCCATTATTTGGGAAAAGCCGGTGTCTGCACTTATCTTTTCTTTTCTCTTTCTGCCCTGAGATCCCAGCCATTTTCTGCCACCCCAAGAGCACTGGTCTGCCTATTTCTCTACCAGATCATATCTAGCCATTATGGCTTCTCCAGGAAAATGGAACACTTCCCACTGGAAGCAAATCCCACACATGGGAAAGGGGAATGAGTCACATTCCAGAGGCTACCTCTGAGTTTGGGATCACACCTTGCGGCCAAGAAGGTCTCAAGCTATATTTTAATGACCATGGAGTTGTGGCTCTCTGAAGATCAGGCATCCAAGAATTTCCCCAGACGGTTGTTTCTGCTCACAGCTCACTCAGCTACCCCAAAACCTCTACGTGATGACATCGAACCATTAAAATAGCACTTTTCGTGCATTTTCCACCAAAGTGTTATAATCTGGGTTTATTAGAACAGGAAACCCTCCATGTGCATACCATTCTGCCTAGTGACCACTAACAAATCCCCTCAGCTCTTCTAAGTATTTCAATATCCTCATCTATAAAGTAAATTGAGTTGGCCCAGGATACCAAGCAAGGTGGAAATGGATGGGATAAAAGAATTCAATGTATGAAAATATATGATGGCCACAGGATTTCAGCATCTCAATTAGGCATCAACAAAGAGAGGGAGTCAGGTCCCACCAGTTCCAACACAACCAGCCAGTTGTGCAAATGAGTGCATCAATCCCATCACACCAATGGCTTGAAGTCAGCTTCAAGGGGAGGGGAATATTTCCCGCAGCAAACTATAAATCTGGACCTTTTTTCCCCAGACAGACAGCTTACCAGCACACCACCACCAGGCCAGTTTGGTGGGAAGAAAGAGGACAGTGGTAGGGCTCCAGACCTGAGGCTCAGAGACTAAGCCAATGTATTCGATTCTGTGGTGCCACATAGATGCCATTCCACATACAGGAGGCATCTGCAAGGATAACAATCATGTTCCCAGGCATTAACAAAAGCTCAGAAGATTTACCCACAGAGTCCGACACTGGAAACACACCAGGTGGAAGTATCCAACTAGGAACAAATCCGGGAAATGTTGCAAGGGACACAGGAAGTGCAAGGTGATCAAATACCTTGGTAGTGTTTGTTGTTCATTGGGACTGAAGGGGGAAAATAGAACAAATGTAACTGTAACAACCAAAAGTGGAATATTAAATGATTGGCAAGGGGAGAGGTAGACAAAAGAGATAGGAGAGCCTGTTAGAGTACTTGGCTTGTACAGAAATTGGTATGTTTAAAAATTCCACAAAGAATAAAATGAGTGATAAGAGCAACGACCATGAGAACAAAATTAGAATTAGAATTTTTGAACTAAAAGAAAATTTAGTTCTTTCCAATGGAAAGCAGCAAAGAAAGAAAAAATTCCTCCCCCCAAAAAGACAATAAGAACAACAACAACAACAACAAAAAACCCAGAAAGTAGAAATCAGTCATAATATGACAGCAATTAAGCAAAATAAAAAAAAATGTTAACTATTAAATTTACCACTGAAAGACAGAGACCCTTCAGTTGCACTTTTGAGAAGAGACTTCACCATTTGCTTTTCTCAAGAAAAACATTTAAAACAGAAAGACATAAGGGCGCCTGGGTGTCTCAGTCGGTATTCTCTCTCTCCTTGTCTCTCTCTGCCCATCCCCTGCTCATGTGCGCGAGCACTCTCTCTCTCTCAAAATAAATAAATAAACTTAAAAAATTAAAACAAGAGACATGAATGTTTAAATACAAAAAAATTCAAATAAATAAATAAATAAATAAACGTGGACCAAAAGAAAAGTTTAGGGCATCAACCATAATACCTTGAAAAAGTGAAATTGAAGGCAAAAAAGTTAAAAACCAGAGAATGATCTGCATCATGAATCATCAGGAAAATGCAAACCAAGACCACAATGAGATATCAGTCCACCTGCCAGAACGTCTAGTATCAAAAAGACAGGAAACAATAAGTGCTGGTAAGGAGGTGGGGAAAAGGGAACCCTCATGCCCTGTTGGTGGGAATGCAAACTGGTGCAGCCTCTGTGGGAGACAGTATGGAGGCTCCTCAAAAAAATGAAAAATAAAACTATCCTATGACCCAGCAATCCCACTTCTGGGTATCTACCTACAGAATACGAAAAAACTAACTCGAAAAGATATCTGCACCCCTATGTTCACTTCACCATTATTTACAAAGCTGAGACATAGCAACAACCTAAGTGTCCATCGATAAATGAATGAATAAAGAAAATGTGGAATGGATATACAGTGAAATATTATTCAGCTATAAAAAACAATGAGATCGGGTGCCTGGGTGGCTCAGTCAGTTAAGCATCTGATTCTTGATGTTGGCTCACGTTATGATCTCACGGTTGGTAAGATCAAGCCCCATGCTGAGCTCTGCTCTGACAGTGCAGAGCCTGCTTGGGATTCTCTCTCTCTCCCTCTCCTTCTCTGCCCCTCCCCTGCTTGTGCGCATATGTGAGCTTGCTTTCTCTCTCTCTCTCAAAATAAATAAACATTAAAAAAAAAAAGAATGATGTCTTGTCATTTGTGACAACATGGATGGATGCTGAGGGTGTTATGCTAAGTGAAATAAGTCAGATAGAGAAAGACAAATACCATATGATCTCATATGTGGAATCCAAAACTAAATAATTTTTTTTTAAAGTAAGTTCAGGGGCACCTGGGTGGCTCAGTCAGTTAAGCGTCCAACTTTGGCTCAGGTCATGATCTCATGGTCCATGAGTTCGAGCCCCACTGTCTGTGCTGACAGCTCAGATCCTGGAGCCTGTTTCAGATTCTGTGTCTTCCTCTCTCTCTGCCCCTCTCCTGCTCATGCTCTGTCTCTCTTTCTCAAAAATAAACATTTAAAAAAAAGCAAGCTCATAGAGACAGAACAAATTGGTGATGGCCAGAGGTGAAAGGTGGGAAGTGGGAGAAATGAGTAAATTGTTTTTGTTTTTGTTTAGTTTAAATAAATTAAAAAAAAAAACAAAGAATGATGTAAAAAGGAATAGGAGAAGAGTGAAGAGTACATAATTATCATAAACAAATTATCATAAACACATATGTGCATAAACAATCAACCTTAAATACATCAAGCAGCAATTGACTGCACTTCAGGGAGAAATAAATCAATAATTGTAGCTTTTACCAAAACCTCAGAAACTGATATATCAAAAGAACAAAAGGTGAACAGAGTTTACAGACATATAACAAGAGGATTGATAAATGTGAGCTATTATTTACATGTAGGATTATCAACCTTCCCAGTCAACATCCCCCCTCCAAAAATCCAAACAGAGGACACACATTTTCCTTAAGCACCCATAGAACATCTGCAACACAGACCATGTATTTATTGCACCATAAAACAAGCATGGGATCCTCATAAAACACTGGTAGGAAGTGGCTAGTGCAGCACTTGGAGAGCAGGTCCTCAGTATTTAGTGGCATTAGATGAATGGATAAAGAAGAAGTTATATATATATATATACACACACACACACACACACACACACACACACACACACAATGGAATACTACTCGGCAATGAAAAAGAACGAAATCTTGCCATTTGCAACAACGTAGATGCAACTGGAGGGTATTACACTAAGTAAAATAAGTCAGTAAAGAAAGATATCATATGATTTCACTTGTATGTGGAATTTGAGAAACTTCACAGAAGACCATGGGGGAAGGGAAGGGGCAAAAAGCATTACAGAGAGGGAGACAAACCATAAGAGACACTTAAATACAGAGAACAAATTGAGAGTTGTTGAGGGGGGAGGAGGGAAAATGGGTGATGGGCACTGAGGAGGGCACTTGTTGGGATGAGCACTGGATGTTGTGTTTAAGCGATGAATCACTGGAATCTACTCCCTAAGCCAAAAGCACACTGTTTGCGCTGTGTGTTAGCCAACTTGACAATACATTATACTCAATTTAAAAAAGTCTATCCACCCTCTGTGACCTAGAAACTCCCCTCCAGAGTGTGTTCTCAGGGAAAAGTTCTCAGGGAAAGTACCCCCGCTCCCACATGGGCCACGAGGCAGGCTCTTCATCACGGCATTGCCTGGGGTAGGAGAGCTGGAGAAGGCAGAGGCTAAGCAGAGTGGGGCGTGTGTTCAGTCCCCACAGCAGGTAGATGCCCAGGACCACAGACAGAGCAATGTCGACAGATCTTAAAAACCCGGTGCTGGGCTAAAACTAAATATGTGACATTTCAGGTCACCTGGGTGGCTCAGTCGGTTGAGTGCAGACTCTTGATT